GTTTAGTGACTATTCGAACTAACAACAACACTGAAAAAGTAAATTTATGACTGGTTCCCAGACTTACGATGGTCACGTGATCACCATTTGAGAATACACCACAAACAACAAATAACAATTGTTCTTTGTTTGATCTCCATTTGTGACCTTCATAGCCAGCTTCCAACAAATCAAGTGGGGAAGTCAGCAGGACATTCCAAGTTGCAGTCACATGACATCATGCTTAACAAATGCGGTGATTTGGTTAATGACTACAGTGGAATTGATGTAAATTGGGGTAGTCACATGTTTCATTTAACAAGTATGTCTATTAGTGAGAGTTGCCAGTTGGTCCAAATTGTAATAATTAAGTGAGGACTACTTGCGTTGAATATCATTTGTATTTCAAATACAACTATATTTTTCTTGCTACTCTTTCTCAAGAGGGCGTCGCTGGACTTCTCCATTGTGGATAGTTTCCAGCCTTTCCTTTGTAGTGAAGGTTGAGAAGATGGTTGGCCAGCATTTGCCAAAATCCTTGGAGGAAATGGGATTATTTGGACTCATTCCAGTCAGGTTTCAAGCCAGGATATAATATGGAGGAATGATTGGTTGTGCTTGTCAAGGACATTTGGAAGAGCAGGGATAGTGGTGGTGTATTCCTTCTTGTGCTCTTTGATCTTTCTGTGGCTTTCAATGTCACTGACTATGATATCCTTTTGAACAGCTATGGGGATGTGGGCACTGTGCTATACTTCCTTTCTCAGTGATAGGTCTCAGTAAGTGTTGACAATAGGGGAGAGATCACACCTGTAGCCCTTCAGTTGTGTGTGTGGGAGGTGCCTCTGGATTTGAGACTCTCAATCTTTTTAACATTTACATGAAAGAGCTGTATGAACTCATCTGTCATCTCATGATAGCAATACTATTCTCAAAGTTTTGAGTTCATGAAACACAGTGATTTACCATCTGAGCACACAACAATCTAACTAAAAATGTGGTTGTTTAGTTTATGATTCAGTGTATTATGTGAACCTTGCTGCTCAATAGCTCCACAGCTATGACTGACTTGTATCATTCATTTCATTGGGTTTAATCTAACATTGGCAAGTCTTAACCTAATCCATTTCTTAAAACCTAACCCTCTAAAAGCCAAATACAGACACATAAAAGAAAATAAACCAAGAAGCATACACATAAATAAATCAGATTATATTTTATCTGGAGCAACTGCAGCTCATGTTCCTTTGTTATTCTCATCATAATCTATCATGAGAATCAACCCTACATTACACTCCTGGATAATTATTATATGTTCCTCTATCACAACACTCCAAAATAATATAAAACATAAGACTAATAACTCTAAATTATAACATGTAAAGATGTAAATAAACCATTTCCCAAAACCTGTAACTTAATATTTTGCACTCAAAGTAAAGTACAGAGCTTGTAGTAGCATAGCTTAATTGGCTATACATTAAAATTTGTAATAACATTAGGTACTGAAAATGTAAAAACCACTGAAATAGAAAGATAAACTCAACAACTTTCATCTGGTGTGATTCAGGACCTGATTACATTGAATCCGTAGGGCTCTGATTTTAGTCTAAGTGGACAGGCTTATATGGGGACAATAGTCTCAGCTATTGGGTATGCTAACCAAATGTGAGACTGAGAAGTAATTTACATAGAACACAGATGTCACTAAAACTTGAATTAAATCTTTAAATTATATAATTATTAAACAACATCTGCATATCCCAATTCCTTGGGAAGGATTTGTTTGGCATATCAAATCCAATCTAAATATCTGGCTGACTGTATTACCAACCATAACTGAATACATATGAACACATATTTACTTTTTGCAAAAAAAAAGTGGGCTTTTGTTTCTATTGTAGTACTGACTTTATTGAGTCAGGTTTTTTTAAATAGCTTGGTAGGATTTAAACTAGGAAAAGTTAGAACTGCTGGTCTTGACTATACTATTTTAGAATGCCAAAGGGTTCATGATGGACTGAACTGTTGCCCATACCAGAAATTCTCTGCCATCTGGAGAACATCCAAGAAGAGGGATGTTCTGTGTAAATATACCCACTTAGTGTAAATAGCTTCTATCCCAACTAGTGGAATGATATTTAAGGAGGATTTCTTTTGCGGTGAACATGTGGTGTTCTGATGGGCCCAGCCTATTGTTACAAAAAACTGTGTTCTACAAAGACTAGATGTTAAAATAATCTTCTTTGCCTGTGTCCTATCCCCAGCTTTTAATTGATCACCACATTTGTCTGAGCTCTCCATAAAAGGTCTGGAGGCCTTTCCTTCTATTAATGAATCCCAGAATAGGCCTTTTATTTCAACAGCTGGAGATCATTACTCACTGTTATGGTTTCTTTACCAGCAAAATCCTCTGGTCCCATCTCCTCCACTTCTGAAAGGGGATGCGGTATAGCTGCTTTGCCTTTATCTCTTCTCATTCTCCCTCAGATTCCTACCATTTCCCCCCCCCCCCCTTGTTGACCTTTGATTGAATGATTCCCTTTGCCCATCACTGTTTATTTGCTTTTTTTCCAGTACATCTTGGGATTGGTCTATTACTTGCAGCATAAAAACAATCCACAAGGGGGAAAATATTTTTGGATATTTTTTTATGTGGCTAACTGATCCTTATAGATTTGCTCATGGGGAAAGGGTGATTGATGCTATTTCTATTTTTGAAGAAGCCGCTGACTTCAGTCTGACCTTTGTTTATATATTGAAGGACTTGTTTAAGTCTCAGTTTTTATTCTCTGTGTATAATTTTGGCAAGAAGTTTAAATAAAAACAACATGGAAAGAACACATTTACTATCTCCTCCTTCTTAATCCATTACTCAATTTAATTTTACTCCTTACTGATAAGAATAAATACCTATCCTAAACTTAAACTTTGAGAGCACAAGCACAAAATAGCAAGATCCGAGTACATTGTATGATGATGCTGAATAATGCACTCCTTTACTTCGACATTTTGCAACAAAGTATGTTATGCTATATTTATTTTGTTCTGTTAAAAGGTCTTGAATGTTTGGAAATCAACTGTAATTGAATTTTTATCCACAGCTAGAGAAAAACCTTGCTAATAGTCTTTTCTATCAAATGGCCATACCATTTCCATTCTTCATTTTATGATTCCGATTCTAATTAAACACATTTATTAAACTCATGAATTTTTCCTCCCTTTCTGCAATGCTAGTTCTCCATGTCTTTTCAGCTATGTTCATATGGAACTGAACCATAAAAATTATCACATTTTAATCTAGCAAGTTCTGCAAATGCATCACATCTGGTTAATTTCTAGCTCACTATTATACAGGTTAATTAAGATTAGTTCAGTTAACCATGGATGAAGATGTGTTTAATGACAGCCTCTCATTTAAGAAGCCCCTCTAAATTCTTTTTCCCCCCTATTTCAGAGTGAATTTTCCATGATGGAGTTGTTCTTTGCAGTCCAGAGAATGCAGAAGGTTTCTGTTCAAGGAGTTTGGATGAAAATTCTGGTGAAAACAAGGGATCCTATTTTGAGTAAACATGTTCCAAATGGATTTATTCATATGCTATGTGAGTCATTGCCTCAGAAATCCTTGTCTGCATATGAATCTTTGAAAGATACCACAGCATGCCATGTTAACAGTTTTTTTTAAAAAAAAATGTGGAAGTATTTGGAAATGTAGCAGGTGATTTGGAGGTGGCAGGAGCTTGATGTTTGGTATGGAAATGACAGCTGCTGTGTGCTTTGCATTGCAGTGAAAATGAGAAAACTTTTGCCATGTTTAGCTGTCCCTATCACTCTCATTGCTTAATGGCTTAGTTTACAATTGGACACCCTGACAGAACACTCCAGCTGCAGCAGTTGCAGGGACAAGTGATGTAAACTCTACTGTCACCACAGATGTAAACCATTTTGTTCAGAGAATGTGGGGCAAGATCTCAAGCTCAACACCGTCTTCTCCCTACATCAGAGAAAAAACTGCACACTGGTGTCCCAACATGATGACCAATAACAAGATGCCACCAACTTTGAATGGGAAAAGTTATTTCTGCTGATGAATAAAGACTTGTATAAGCTGGAATGCTTATAGAATAATACGAATGGCTGCTTTTGAGTAAGGTTAAATCCCATAGCTTGCAACTGAATTTATAAATTGCTTTAATAATCTGCTTGTAGTTTTCCTTTTGTAGAGTTCTTCTGTGATAATTTTTTAAAAAACATGGGAAAGCAGTCTCTTCTTCAAAAGCATGGTGATATAAACTAGTTAAGCACTTTTTAAAGTTGACCTAAATGGCATCTTAGCATTTCACAAAAAGAAATGGTCTCAAGCCCAACTTTCTACAAAATGGAAACACATGCAAGCAATTTCTACACAGAGGGAAAGTACAAAAGTATCCTATCAAGATTTTCACCAAAACATAGGTTTACAAAAACCAGGATTGTTTGCCAGCATCTGTTTTCTATTTTAAACAGCCAAGATTTATCAAAAAGGGCAGAAATAAGTTCACTGTGTATAAATACTTAACCACAAAACTTGTAAATGATGATCAGATGCCAGCTGATAAAAGGATTTGTTCTGTATACAATGAAATTCTACCCCCTTCGCTGTTTAATTGCACACATTACATTGTGCCTGTTGAATTTCTTCCTGCAATTTGGTTGCCCACTTGTCATTTTCAAACTCAGCTTTACAACAGCATTTGAGAAATTAAGTTTCTTTCTGGGGTGGATTATTTGGAGTCAACAATAAACCTTTCATGACTAGGGTAAAGGTCAAAGCAGTAAAGCCAAATTGCTTTTAAGAAAAATAGATGATTATTTTATTAACAGAGGGTGATGAAAATTTATGAGGGCAAAACTCATTTAAAGGATTCTGAAATGGGTGAGGGAAAAAAACAGCCACACACACACACACACACACACACTTCTGAGCTTTAGAGAACGGCAAAAGAAGGATCATCTAATTAAAAAAAAAACAACAACTCCAATTTAATAGCTGACTAGCCTTTTATTTTATAGCAGAGCATTAACAGGTCTGAACTTAATAATTATTTACCAGTATGCACAAAAATGGAAAGATACTTTAATTTCCACAATGGATGAATGGCTGGAAAAACTGATGGAACTAGCAGAGATGGCTAAATTAACTGTTTAATCAAAGAAAAGAACACATCCAACTTTATTTCTATATGGAAACTGCTTTTGGATTTTGTGCTTGAGATGGTAAAACATGAAACATTGATTATGGGTTTTGTTCATTAGGTTTGTTGTTATAGAAATGCTAATACACATATTACATAAAACTACTAAGTTGAGGCTATTTTATTATATTATTTTATTGAGCTAAAAAGAGTTGGAAGTCTATAATTTTCTTTCTTCTTTCCCCCCTTTATCCTACACCTTCCTCTCCCCCATTTTTCCACTATTTTCCTTCCCATTTTATACTTTGATAATTTTAATAAAATATATTTACCATCCACATTAGAAACTTAAAGCACTTCTAAGCAGACAGTTTGACTTAACTGCCAATCCCTCTGCCATCTTGCCCGGTTTTTCCCATTTTTTTAAAGTCTCAAATCTTTTAACTATTGACCAGGATCTCCTTTCCACAACAATTTAAATAACAACCCACCCCAATTCATCATTTTTCATATTCTTATGAAAGTCTATAGGAGATGATGATTGTGTATGCTTTGATCCAATGGAACTGCTGTCTGGATTAATCTGAGGCTTGGCCCTATTACTATTTTAACTTTCAGTGACTGTGCTGTACCATATTTTTCCTGCCCCATTAATCTGGCTTGTATTTCCATCTTAATGTATGAAGCTGCTTTAAATCTGTGCCGAACTAAGCTACAAGCAATCAGGAATTTCATTTTTCATTTAACTCTTGTGGTCACACAGAGGGTCTGGCCACAATTATGGCTTATGGAGGGAAGCTTATGTCACACAAAACTAAAAGAGAACATAGACAAGAACTTTCTGTAATATGGAACAAAGAACCGCAGACTGAATTATCTAGAGTACCCACCCATGTGCAGGCCTTAATAATTTAAATCTTTCTGTGCCTTCTGGCATGAGAAAAAATGGAGGTGATGAAATACTGAGGAGTGCTTACTTGGATTAAAAAAAAAAAAAAAGGATTTCCTATCATTTGTATTTAATATATAGGAGGAACACTGGAAGGGTATCTTTGACATGTTTCTAGGTTGTAAAAATCTAGGTGGTCATTAGATGGCAGCAGAGGGACTTCTGTATCTCTAAGTCATTTAGCTGTCATCTATGGCCTTCCCTATTTTGTAGCCTAGATATGGTATGATAATAAAAATCTGTTGTTTTTTACATCAACTTTGAGAGCAGTCACAAGTAGTCACAAATGTGTGACAGAAATGGAATAACTGTTGGAAGAGAACTTTAAATTATAGCAATGGCTAAAAAAACACCCTATACTTTTATAATATACTAATTCTGCTCTGGAATTAGTAATCCTTGCTCATACAAATTACTGAACACAGAACAGATGACTTAGATGAATGAATAGATGAGAAGCTGTTGCCAAAGATTGGGGCTTATCTTTAAACAATATAGGATAAACCAGGGATTTTGAACATTTGAAATTTCAGGAGCCCTCATCAATGCCAGATTTCATGAGGTTTAATTATTTTCAAACTGCTGCTTTATTGGACAAAACCAGTCCTAAAACTCCCACTTGGTAGAAGGCAAACTTTTATTTTGCCTTTCAGATGAAGACAGACTTTTGAAGTTGCTGCTTATTTTATTTCCCCCAGGATATTTCCTATATCCCAAGCTTTGTAGGGAAATGGGCAGAGCTCCCCAAAGCATAGGCTGCCACCAGCCGCCATGTTTTTCTAGGAAATTCAGAGGAATGAGGCATTTTGTAAATAACTCTAATGCTATTTTATCTGTACTTTACTTTGTTGCATGCCCATTTTCATTTTTCTTTAAAGACTAAAATTATTGGGACTCTAATCTTTAAAGGAGCCACATTGGAGATTTTAAAAATAAACTTCCCTCTGGGCCATATATTTCCAAAAGCTAGGGTTTTGCATAAATGTAAAATAAATATCGCTTAAATCTTTTTGCTAAAAGAGAAATGGTTATTAGTATGTGAATGTTATAGATGGAACAAAATGGAAGTGGATTCTTATGCATTAGATAAAGGGCCCAGAATATGGGGGTTTACCATATTTCATAAAGTCTGTCTCAGGCCCAATCACACAGCCTTTCATTCACCCATACGTTATGGAATTGGTCTAAAACTTCAGGACCATACTCATGAACTCAATTCTCCTTTCATTCTATGAATCGTGCAATCCTCACATTCCTACTTGCCAGTAAATCCATTAATGTAATGCTGCACAAAGGCAGGTTTTATTCTACCATTAAAAGAAAATTGAAACTAGTAAACATTTTCCAGTGCTTCCCCCTCTCTTCTCCTGTTATGAACTGGTTCCATTCTCCCAAGTAATATGTTTACATACTGTAGTAGATAAGACTATTGTATACCTCTAGCTTGTTTTTTCCTTTTAAATGCAATTTCTATCCTTTTCTCATATGGAACATGATGCAACCTAAGTGCAGAAATTATGATGTAAAAGCAGGTCTAGACCAAGGATAACTGCCTTTTGAGCAGAAGCCTTGTTTTCTGGCTTATCCAAAAAGTTTCAGATACACTAATTCATAGTACTCCCATTCCTTAGCTTTTACTCTCCCAACTATCCAATGTTAGATATTTAACATTCTTTCAGGAACTGCTAAAGATTAATACACTTTTTCACCCGCATTAATACTAAACTACAACTGGCCAAGATATGAATGTGTTAGTATTTCACCATCTCATACAGGGGAAAAAGAAAAATATCAACAAAGAACCTTTACAAAAAAGACTGCGACAGAAAGGAAGGATAAAAATTAGTCTTGATTTCAGCAGCTCCACTCAGAGAGGGCCATCGGCAATTGTATTTTGTGGAATTACATACTTGTATATGCACAGGCAGAAAATATTTTGATAATCAATCCAAGCATCAGCGAATTTGAAGTAGCCCTCAGCATACATATTGACTAAATAGAAATCTATAACTAATTCCTTTTACATCAAGAAATAATTTACTAATTCCTTTACCCCTTTAGATCATGAAATAATGTTAAAGAAATAAAAACAACCATTTTAAAAAGTTTTTATAAAACCAACATTGCTATATCTATGATACCTGTAAATTCTTAATTATCACCACTATATACACATTTATACACACATTCACTTCTAAGGGAAAAACATCCTTAAGAAAGGATCAGGAATCATTAAACAGTGCTTAAGAAAATGAACAGAAATGTGTTGCTTGTAATTTCAATGGCATATTGTTCCAGTTATTTACTGTGCCATACTTCTTTACTTTTCAGAATAATTTAGTAGCCATACTTAGCATTTAGATGGGTTCTGCCATCACCACTTTGACCTGCTCAACAGAGAAAAGAAAACAGTATTTTAAAATTTTAGAGATTTTTTTTTGCTATAGTGCTTTTTAAAATAATTTGCATTACTATTGTTTCAATGATTTTATCTCAATGGTTTTTTAAATTTCTGCTACAAAGTTAGTCAAGGCTGTTGCCATTATTTAAACTCTACCTTTCAATACAGCTAGGACCAAAACACCTTGAGCAGAAAATAATTAATACTGTCAAAGCTGCTTTAGGAGCTGAATGGCATCATTCCTGCAAAAACAGAGCCAGGCTTTACATAGAGGGAAGCAGCTTCAACTCTCTACCAAAATCCACTGGTGCCTATTATATTCAGAGATAGAACACTGATTTTGTCCATACTTGATTAGTATTTACATAACTCCATTTTGAAGACCAAATATAAATCTATAGCATAATCTCCCTCAGCACATTCTGATTATATTTTGTTTACTCTGTACTTCAAATAAGTTAGGGGTTTTTTTTTGTATGTTATGTGTGTGTCTTCAAGTCTGTCTTGCTACTGGCAATTGCCTGAATAAGTCCCTGCAGTTTTCTTGGCAAGATTTCGGAATTGGTTTGCATTGCCTCCTTCCTATGATTGACAGAGAGTGACTGGCCCAAGGTTAGCCAGCTCACTTTGTGATTAAAATGGGACCAAAACACCTGTCACTAAGTTTTATTTGTTCATATATAAACTATATTTTGTCAGCAACTCATGCTCCACAATTATTCTGAGTGCCCCTTTACCTTCAGGTGGTACCCATACACAGTAATCTGGATCATCTTCTGGATAGTTTGAGGATAATGAATGCTGAATCTGTAGGACAGAAAGCAATTTACTTTTTGTAAATATACGTCAGTATGTAAAACTTTCATTGCATTGTGGGTACAACAGCCCTTGAATGGCAAACCAGAGATTATGATTGGGAGGCAAAATTTAAATTTAGTACTCATTAAACAAATCAATAGAACAAATCTGTCAAATGTTAATTTTTGATAATATAATTATTAGTTCTGCATAATTTAAATTCTTACAGGTTAACATACCAACTTATAATGATTCTCATCTCTTTGCAAAGCAGTTGATCCCAAGGTTTAAAATAGAGTAAACAAAAACAAAACCATCTCAAACCACTCTGTCCTGTATATAGAGATGTACTCAAGTCTTGAATATTTGGCAGTGACAAAACAAGAGAGAGGTAGTGGAATGTTGCTGGCAACTGGATGGGGCAGGGGAGAAAAATAGATGGAACACAACTTGTATATTCTCTGCAATCTAGAGTAGTGTTTCTCAACCTCAAAAATTTTAAGAGGTTGGACTTCAACTCCCAGAATTCCCCAGCCAGCTGTGAGAGTTGAAGTCTACATATTTTAAAGTTGATAAGGTTGAGAATGAGTGAGCCTGAAGCAAAAATGTACACTGGAGTATCAAAGTCATGTACTTGGCCAGTCATTATATGCCTAGAATTCATTTCCAATTATCATTTGAGGGCAAAGTACTGTTTTCTCAAAGTGTACTCTGAGACCTACTTATATACTTTGAGAGGGATTTTTGTACCAAATGAAGGAAGAACTAAATAACATATAGGTTTTTCTTAGTTGGGCTTAAATTGAGGAAAATGCTAACAATTGTTTAATTGTTTCTACTGGAAGATTTCAGGAAAAGAATAAAAAAATAATCTCATTTTAAATAGGGTAATTTGCAGACATACCCTCAAAAACATTGCATTGTTATATAAGATGCTGTGCTAGAGATTAGGGTTTTTTTTTAAGTCTATTTTTGCTTTGTGAAGGAGAAAAAAATGCAGTATCTCCTGACTCATGCAGTACTGGATTACATACAGTTAAGCACTACAACAGATTTATAAAGCAAGATTGACAGCAGATGGTAAAACAGCTGCACATAATTTCTCTATCATTAGCTCTACTGCACTACCAAGGATGATTAGGTGAGATATTTTAATCACTGCTGGTTCAATGGAAACTAAGTATTTGAATTATAATCCTTTTATATAAGCTGTTGTAATGTTTGTGAGCAAAGCTACTATTCCCAAAATATCAAAAAGTATCTCCTTTTGATAAGTATAAAAATTGTCCCTCCAAGAGCAGTACACTACAGAATCAGGCTGAGATAGGGAGACAATTGTGCTCAAATTTCCTTATTAAACAATTCTTTTAATTCATAAGGGAACTTCTCCCATTCCTATCCCCAAACATAGAGTATTAAGCATCTGTTATTGGTAACTATAAAGATGATTATCTGGATTAGATTGCAGTGCCTCAGCCCAAACTGGTGTGCAATCTGGGACTCACTTGGATTCACAGATCTTGTTCATGGAACAGGTGACAACTTGAAATCATACCTCGCGATTTCTAGACTGGACTACTGCAAATGTGCTCTACAAGAGCCTCTATTTCAGTGGTTCTCAACCTGTGGGTCAGGACCCCATTTGGGGTCAAATGACCATTTCACGGGGGTCGCCAAACAACGCAGTCTGCCATTTCCCCCCCCCCTTTTCCTTAACTGTGCTACTCCCTTTTATTCTATTGGCTTTTGAAAGCCAATAGAATAGACTCTCTTGAATAGTCTGGAATTGTCCAGGCTGTCTCTGCCCTGCTGAGCCCACGAAAAGTCCCATTCTGCAAATGGTGCTGCACCAGTTGAGTAGTCCTCGACTTACGACCGGTTGAGTAGTCCTCGACTTACGACCGGTTGGGGGGGGGTCGCGGCATTAAAAAGGTTGAGAACCACTGCTCTATTTGAAGAGCTTTTGGCAGCTGGAGTTGATGTAGAATGGGTAGTGGGTCAGTTGGTGGTGTTTATTTTTTGGTACCTGTAACGCTACTGCTCTGTGATTTGCACTGGCTACCAGGGTGCTTCAAGATACAATTCAAACTGCTGGTAGTTTCTTGGTTATATTGATTGCTGTTGTTTTTTGTGATTTTTAACTGCTATGGTTTTATATTTTTAAATGTTTTTATTATTTTAATGGTGTAAATTGTCCAAAGTAACTTATTCAAGATGGACCTCTATATAAATCTACAAAACAAACAAACTAACAAAAAGTTTTGTTCTTCCAACTCACCTTAGGTTTACTGCTATCTTTTTGATTTTTTGGCTTTGTTGCTGGCATCTCAGATGCTAGTAAAATAAACAATTGGAAAAATGAAGTTTATAATACAGATCTTAATTCTTTATTTTCAAAGTAAATAAACCTTTCTCTAAAAACAACACAGAGCAGGGAGTTGTTAAAATAAAGCGCTGAGTCTTATCTGACAAAACAAAGAATGCATATATCCCAGAAATGTTTCTATCAGTAGGACTGTCACATTGCCTTTGTAATAATATATCTTAGGTGAAATATTAAAATTTCTAATATTTTATCTGAAATATATTTTCCTTAGTTTCTTCCTCCTTAAATTTATTTTGTTTCAATTGCTATTATACATATAATTTTTAAATTATACTATCACTGATATATTATTCTTCTGTTAGGTTTCACTAATAAACTTTTATTTAAAAAAAGGTAAAGTAGTTCTTCACTTATATCTGTATTTCACTGCCTACTGGAAATAGTCCAACACTAAAGCACCATTTACTATTGTTTTTTCTTTTCATTATTCTGAAAAGGCATGGGTTTCCAAATTAATGCTTTTACAAGAGCTGAGTTTTTATAGAGCACTGAAAGTCCAACATCTCACTGGATCTGCAAGGTGAATAAAAAAGTTTCAGCGAGGCTCAGCATGGCTGGTTTGAGGCTCCTGAAGTTTTCTGACAGCCCCTCAGGTGACTGGAAAAGCAACTTTTAGTGGCTAAGATTGATATGGATCAGAAATCTGGAGAAGCATCTTGCTGAAAGTTCAGCCTAGGCCTAGTGACTGGAAGCTATCCCCTTTATTCTAAATTTTGTAGTCATTGAATGCGAAATATTGTTTAAAATAGTGATCTTCTTAAGAGTCAATAACTTTTTTTCTCACCAGTTGTGAAATATAATTTGTTTCAATATCAGTGAAATTATCATTTTGTCCTAGTGCTCATAGATTGTTCAGAGACAGAGCTGCATAAAACTGCTTACCTTCTAGTTTTATCTGCAACTCATTCACTGGGCAATTATGATCTAATGGGCTTGTATCCTTGCTTGAAGATTCAGTCTGAGATTTAAATCCTATAAAAATATAATAGGAACCCCAAAATTTAGTTAATTAGGAATAAAAATAGTAACTTCTACATATTTCATTCCTTAAAACTAGAGTTTTATCTAATTCAGTGCTTCTCAACGTTTGTGTGATGGCGACCCCCGTCACACAAACGTTCTGCGCATGCGCGGCGCCGCGCGCATGGGGGCAGGCCCCCATGCGCGACGCCCCCCATGCGCGGCACGCGTGCACGGGGCCGCCCTGTGCGTGACGCATGAGCACGGGGCCGCCCACATGCGGGCGCACATGCGCGGCGCCACCCCCATGCGTGGCGTGCGTGTGCGGCGCCGCGAAAAATGGCGGATCGCCACCTTTGGCGACCCCCGAAAAATGGTCGATCAACCCCAAATGGGGTCGCGACCCATAGGTTGAGAACCGCTGATCTAATTAAAGCAGCTTTTCCACTATACACAACGATAGTGCAAAATAAAGCAAAAGATAAGAGGTTTTCAGTGATCTCCAATCAATAAAAACAGGGAACCTTAAAATGTGAAAATGAAATCAGGTCGTATAAAGATAAAATATAAAACGTATGGATTTTTTTTTTTTTTTTTAATTGAAAATTTTTAAATTTTTACAAAAACAAATCCCCTTCCCATACCCCCCCCAACCCTACCTCACCCCCCTCCTCCCCAACCTCCCAGACCCTCCCCTAGACTTCCCAGAGCTGAATACAGGCTTAATTGAGAAAAAAACTTAAAACACTTTTAAAACCTAAACAAATTTAAATACAATCATCATTCTATATAAACTCCCTCCAAAAACGCAAATTTAAACATTACTTTCTTTGAATATCTATAGCTATAATGTAAAATCTAATTTCTCCCTCTTTCTTTATCCTAATACAAAAAAATAAACATATAAACCTTTGTTGTACCATTAAAACTAAATACTCTTAGAAAACTTAAAGTAAATACATATTTCCTTCAATCTTCATAATCTTCTCACCTATCCAAAAAAAAAAAAAAACTTAAAAATCCTAAACAAATCTAGACACATTTAGTTAAACAAATTATTTTCTCTTAAAAATATTAATAATAATATTTAAAAGCTTGAAACACTTTTAAATCCTAAACAAATCTAAATACAATCATCATTCTATATAAACTTTCTCCAAAAACACAGATTTAAGCATTACTTTCTTTCCTAAACAAATCTAGACATTTAATTAAACAAATTATTTTCTCTTAGAAATATTAATAATAATATTTAAAAACCAAATTTAAGCATTACTTGAAACTTAAACAAATTATACTCCCTTCGAAACACAAATTTATTAGAATCCCCTCACTGAAATAAACAAATTATAATCCCTTCAAAACACAGGTTTAAACAATATTATCATTAAAGGTTTAAAACTTAAAACTGAAATATATTATTATCCCAAAACACATATTTAGACATTACATAAGACATTTTCCAAAAACGATATAAGTTTTACTTCTCCCACAATCTCAATAGTAAACTTCTTGTCTAAAGTTCTCATTCAATGTCCATAATTTTCTGTCCAATAACCAGTTGCACCCACTATAAACACAAACTTCTTATCTAAAATTTTCATTCAATATCCATAATCTTCTGTCTAATAGCCAGTTGCATCTACTATAAGCACAATCCATATCGGTCTCTCTTGCCCGCAAGCATCGAAAAAAATGCGTGGAATTCTGCCCTTGAAGATCGCTCCAAAGAGTTTGTAAGTCCTGGTTGACCCACCAGCTCAGGAATCAGTACCTGTGAAACTTCCTCAACCTCCTTCTTCTGTTGGTCTTTCTCTTTACATTTATATGTTACTTTTTCTTTACATTTATATGTTGCACAAGTCTCAGGGACCGATACCTGTAAAACTTCCTCAGTGAATTCCTCCTTGTGTTGATCTTCACAGTTGTAAGTTGTACAAGTTATCCTCTGCCCGTTCCTCTCTTGTTGGTGCCCCTCAAGCTGAAATTTCCCAATTTCGATTTCAGGCAGCAATTCCACCCTTGAAGATTGCTCCAAAGACTTTGTAGGTCTAACTTCTCCCAGAGCCACCCTTGAAGATTGCTCCAAAGACTTTGTAGGTCCAACATCTCCCAGAGATTCAGAGACCGCTGAATATGAAACTTCCTTAACCTTCTTCTGTTGCTGCTTTTCTTTGGAGTTATGTGCTACACAAGTTGTCTTCTGCTCCTCAATCTGGACTTGTTGAGACCTAATAGATGGCGATGCACATACCCCCAGGACCGAAGTATAAAAATCTTTTGCTTGAGAAACAGTATTAAGTCTATGACATGTCCCCAGGTAGTTCACCACCATTCCAGTCGGAATATCCCATCTGAATAGAATTTTTCTCTTTTTAAGTTCATTTACTAGAAAAGCAAACTCCTTTCTTCTTCTTAAAATTTTAGATGGGATCTCCTTAAAAATTATGACATCTTGTGAAGCAATTTGAAATCTCTTCTTATAATAGGCTTGCACAATTTGATTGCGTAAGGATCTTTTACCAAAGTAAATTACCACATCTCTTGGCAGATTCTTCTGTGCTGCCACCACAGAGTTAACCCTAAATAATTTTTCAATTTCACTAAGTATTCCCTCTTTTTCTTTATTCAAAATCAATGCAAAGTCCTTTGCAACCATTTCTTTCAAATCTTCTTGCAAAGACTCTTCCAGGCCTCTGATTCTTAAGGCATATTCCATTTGTCCATATTGAAGCATAAGAATCTCATTTTCCATTTCTTTTTCCATACTTTCAATTTTCCCCTCCATTATGTCCACTTTTTCAGCTACCTCTTCCACATGGGAGTTCACCTTTTCAAGAACAGAAGCAACTCCTTCTAAAGCCAAAACAAAATCTTGTCTCAAGATCTTATTATTTTCCTCTAAAATCTTTTTCATTTCTGCCCTAATTTGAATTATAACATCTCCCATCATGTTTTGCAAATCCTTCATAGTTATTAGCTGACCCCCAGAAGAGGGTGAAACTGTTGATTTAGAAGCTGTAGAAATCCCTGGACGCTTTGGAGCCATCTTAAAGAAAAACCTTTAGCCCTTCTTAAAAAATTATAAAAATTCCTTCAAAAATCATAACTCCCTCCAAAGAAGGTCATTATAATAAAAAGAAAAAAGGGAAAAGAAAAAAAAAAGGAAGAGAAAAAGAATTAAAAAAAGCTTTACTCCTTCTTAAAAATTGCAAAAAATTAAACAGAAAAAAGTCCTTCAAAAAAGAGTCATTACAATAAAAAGAAGGGAGAAGAAAAAAAAAATAATAATAATTAAATAGAAAAAGTCCGTTCCAAAAAAAAAATACTTAGAGATACCAAAAACAACCATTCCAATCATAAGAAAATAAAAAGGGAAAGGGAAAGGAAAGAAAAAGAAACACCAAAAAGCCTGCCGGTCAGCATTCTAACTTCAAAAAAAAAAAAACACCGAGAGATTTGCCGATCGCCATTTTACTTTCCCTTTCAACAAAGAAAAAAAAAATAAAAAGAGAGAATAAAAATAGAAGCAAGTCTTAAAACTTAAAATCCAAATAAATCAAAGAAAGCAAAAACTAAATCCTCTACTCAGCTCTGTCCGTTTATAAAAAAAACTCACCAGTTCTCTTTAAGCACGGAGGTGTTTGCAACGGCTCGTTTTGTCCCTGAGGACAAAAACAGCTGGGAAGCGGAGACAAGTCTGAACTCCGTGGGAGCACTCCTTTCACCCCCCCAAAAAAAACTTGGGGGGTGCAAAAGAGGCTCTACCACTATTCAGACACTCTCTACCCCCCCCTTTGCCCGGGAGGGGGATTTTGAACCGCTGAACAGCTGGTGTCTGCTGTTCATAGCGGTTCTTACACTTACCCAGGAGAGACGGCTACAAAGTAGCCGCCATCGCGCGCGCAAAATCCACCGGAAGTCTAAAACGTATGGATTTTTAAAATAAAAATGGGGACGTCAAGTAAGAATTAAGGCTGCCTTATTGTGTATGTATGCACAATATACAGTTAATACTGTACGTTTTGATTGCGATGTTGCTTCTTCTGATTCCCCACCCCCATCTGCCCAGGCACTGCTAAACAAAATGCACAAAAAAGCTGATGTATAACTCAAGCTATTACAGATATTGCATTCTGGACTGTCTGGGCAGAGCTGTATTAGTTCTGAAAAAGATACTTTGCAACTGAGACCAACTCAGTTCTGTACAAGAAAATTAATAATAATAAACATCCTCAAGAGAAAGAATGATTTCTTTTTAACTGCCCTCTGACAGAAAACTTGCCTACGGTCAGCACTACAATCTTTTTGGTGATAGGTTAAACTTCTATTTTTGTAGGCATTTTCATTATTTCTTAAAGTATTACAAATATAGTTCTATTTTTTACTATTGACTGATTTAGTTTTAAGTTTTTTCTCTATACCACAATTAGGTAATGTTTTTGTATTAAATTTATAATCTTGCTATTTTGTAACCACATTGGGTTGATGCTACAGAATTTAACATTCTGGATAATATGAGAGTTGTGCATGTTTCATATAGCCACTGTATTGTACTGGTCAAGGTTCATCCACTTGATCCAGGGAGTTCCACTGAATTACAAAGCTCAATAAGGATTCTGAGTCCTTCTCTCAGATCTGATTGAGCCAAACACCCTCTGAATTTTGAGAAATAATGAATTTTGCTGGAAAGAGGCTTAGATAATGGTAATGCTGGCTAATACATATGGAAGATATCATCTCAATGAAATGTACCCCTATCACCCCAATGGGTCTAAGCATTGCATGGCTGCAATCATTTCACAAGGTAGTCACTCAGCAATGGTTTCAGTGGTGCCACCTGTGCAATGGGTGTCACCAACTTTATCTTTATATCTACCTCCGACTGTTACCACAGAAGAGTGAAGCAGAGGGACCTCATGTGTTTTGGTGTTCAACCCCTCCCTCCCATTTGTCTGGACATCCTTTTTACCTTACCCATGTACATTAAATTGAACATTTACTGTATTAAAGAAACTAGAAGTAAAGATAATTGCTAATAAAAATGACTAAATCTTCATATTCACTTGCTTAAGTTTAAACTAATTAAAATATGTGCAAGTTGAATGAATATTTTAAAAAAACAGTATAAATAATCATCATTAAGGAATTCCATACTTTGGTTTCTGGGTGAATAAGAAGTGGAAAGGAGATTCCCTTCTTTAACCATTTCTTGTGTTGCAGTTTCCATCTTTGTGTTCTGTGAGCTTCGATTTAAACTGTGGTTCACATCTTCCTCCTCCTCCTCTTCTTCCTCCTCTTCTTCTGGCCCCTCATCTTTCATCTTTAATAGGTTTACCGGTATATCTGGACGTTTCATGGGCAGTTTCTATATTGTAAACAGAAATTACAATAAAGATTGCTTTTCAACTGACATTGAGAAATAAGGAAAATTGGAAAAGATGCCATTAAAAGCTGGCCTTATACATATTTCTAGGAATAAGGAGTTAATGATGTATTGTTTATTTCAGAAAATATATAGTTCCTAAGCTAAACATGTGAGATGCAAACTCTGAAACCCCGTGGCAGCTTTTCCCAATACTATCACAGTATTATGTACTTGGAAAAATTCTACGCTGCAAAATTAAAACCCACAGCTTTTTCTTCTTCTTACTTACCCCTACGGTCCCTGTTTTTAGTCTGAATTTGCTTCCCCCTTTCATGGCACCAAACAGGGGTAAAGTTAGCTTTTTGGGCTTGTTCTGAGATTCCAGATCTTGATTCTCAAGCCTACAGAAAATAAATAAATTTAAAAAATGAAATATATCAAAACATTAACATCAGATATTGAAGGACCAAGTTTACTCATACAGATAACCTACAAACAGAGTCCTACACCTCTACTTGGACTGGCTTCAAGCAGTACAGGTTTATATGACTGATGGGAGCCCAATGCAGCCAATCAAGTCCAGTTCACACAATAGTGCATTTCTTATCTCAAGCATGAACTCCTGTGTCTCTTGCAATTGCTCAGGGATTATTAAACATTACAATGGTATCTGTGCCACCCCTAATGAATGCAAACTATAATTTAAATTGAAGCCAGATTATTTCAAGTTCAAATATTACCTGTATTCCATTACAAGTGAATTTAATGGTTAAAGTACAGTATATTACATATTTAAAATAAAAGGAAAAGTCATACTGATTAGTGCTCTGTAATCAGACTCACTGGGACTTCAGCTCCGGCATGGATGCAGGGGTAACAATCTTAATTAGTCCTTTCAATCGCTGCTGTTCCTTCCTCAGTTCAAAGGTTCTCAAGTGAAGCTTTTTACGTGTCACACTGTCTACGGAACATCCTGACTTGATTTCCGTCATGAATTCATCCAGTGAGTCCTGAGTTGCTGAATGGGACTGTGCTATGGGAAATTATATATTAAAACATATATGTGAAATACATATTAAAATATATTTGTAAATAAATAATAGAGAATATCTGCAAAAATCCTATAGTGTTTCAATGCATTTTTGTATCCAATTATTCTTATAACAGTTTTTGTGGCAATATTCTCCCTTCTCCTTCCCATTTAAAGATTAAAATAATATTGATTTATTTAATCATATTACTATTTTTTAAACAAAGGGAATTCTAAAATCAACCTGTCCTATGTAAAAACAAAAGTTTAGGCTTTGGAAAATCACAGTACATGTTAAACTTTAAATCTAATGCAAATAAGCATCTTATGGTTTATACTTCACAAAACATGCTCAGATAATGGCTAGATATATCACAATTTTAATTCACACAAAAACTCAGTCATATTTAAGACTGATTCCCAAGAATGGATCTCTCAATCTCACTGTCACAGGACTGTTTTCTTTCAAAAGAAATATACTGTAATCCTATTTCTAATATGCATTTTAAAATATAATTTGAATCTGGAAAAATATGTATATATAGTTATATATACAATAAAAGCAAACAATATTATTAACTTAAATAATGTTGATATATTTTGAACTGCATTGCCTTTTATATACTATTCTACTGAAATTTTTAAAAAGTGTTAAAAAAATTCAAGAATTCTCATACCAGTAAGAGAACCTTCCTCTCAGAAAATAAGAGAATATTTGCCCTGATTCAGGAATTGCAATTCTCATTGAAAACATATATTATTTAATATATAGCAACAGGTCAGGATTCTGTCATAGCATCTACAGGCTGAGGAAGTCTGGATAGGGACAAACAGCCTTCAGCTCAACCCAAGTAAGAGTGAATGAGTGTAGACATGGAAGCTATTTGGTCTGGAAAATCTAACATCATTCGTTCTGGATGGGGTTATGCTCAGACAGAAGGAATGTAAAACTTGACTATTCTGGGGCTGCCTTTGAACATTGCATGGCAGTGCGAATAATTATGTATTGTACCTCCTCATCCTTCTTATGCATACTTCAGTCAATTAGGAAGGTGTCAGTCTGAGTCACTTACAAATGTTATTTGATATTGTAGACTTAGAAAGTATCTCAGCCCTTTCCCCTAGATAATGGTTCCTGCATATATCTATGAAGGTCATCTTCCTTACTCTCTACACTCTAGCTCTATTTATCTCTGCCCATCCTATAAGATCTGATATGGGTGGGATGCTCCATGTCCCATTAATTAAACAATCTCGCCTTGTGAGATCCGTACCACATGCTTTCTTTATCGAAACGCTCAACATATGGAACAGATCTCCCTCTTCCTTGTGAGACTTTAGAAAAGGCCCCAGAGACCAAAAATATGACATGATAAAATCAATGATCTTTTTTATCTGGTTAATTATCTTTTTTCTCTAGTCATTGCTGAGTCAGTTAAATCTATGAAAATACACTTATACTATTACAAGTTGGTGGCAATAAAAGATTCTTCCAACGTTTGTACGTTAATCAATCATATTCTACAAATTGACTCTGCACGATGCATAAAATATTAATGAAAGAATGAGTTCAAAATAATTTTATTTATTTATTTAGAAATGCATTTGCCACCCATCTCATTTCAAAGTGACTCTGGGCAGCTTACAATGTAAAAATAATACTTTCCGTGATCCATACTGTTAGTCTCATTTAGTTTTTACTCCATTTTTAATTTTTTAGGAATCTGTGCAAGACAGCCTGCACTCATACATACAATATGTGTCCAATTTTATTAGTTTTATAATAATCTTATAGTCTTACTTGTCCTTGAAGACTTCAGCTTCTCTGCTATCTCAGAGAGCTCTCTCTCAGCTGCATGTAGTTTTGCAATCTGTAAACAGATAAGATATCCATGGTAGGCCAGAGCAAAATGCTGATTTGTTTTATCTTTGTTTTCAAAACTAATTTTTATGTTGTTCTTCCCCAGAGTTAAATCTCTCTTCCCATACTTTTCTTCTTTTTACTATCTATATTCATTTTTTACTCTGGTGTCCTGTTTTCTCTTGTTTTTACTATCCTTTTTATAGTTACTGTAAATCATTTTGAGATATGCAGAATAAGCTGTATGAAAATATATTTTATAAATACAGAAGATAGAAAAAAATGTATCTATGATGCTATCGTATTATTTTCAATAGTGACAAGAGTGTTTTGCTCTTTTACAAGGCAAATCTATGCATCGATTTAGGTACCATGAAACAAGGACATTTTTTTAAGTAATTTTGTTAATTAGTAATTCTGCTTTTGTCTCTCTGCTTTCTTGACATTATGGTTTAGTGTTAGATGTCTTAATTCTGTAGCATGTCAAAATACCTTGAGGCATGAATGCTATTTGAATAAAATAATTTTTATAACCATACATTCAAAGCATTTTAAGTTATACAACTTTTCTTAAGAAAAAAAATTCAAAATATAGCTACAATCCTAGGCATGAATGGTACTTAAATAAGTTTATACTATCATTTTTTTTCTAAAAGCAAGGCTAACAAAGCCGAATGAAACACTTGCTTAATTTGCTTTTACCAATGAATCATATGTTTCTGGCTTTTCATCTATCTTTCCAGCTTTCTTCATTCTGTTGAGTCGTTTCTGTTCAATAACTCCTGTCCGATCAAGGAATAGGTCATCATCACTATCGTAGTAGTCTTCTTCTTCCCAATTCTTTGCTTTTCTTTTCCGGGACACTAAGAGAAAAGAATTTATATTTTTATTTAATTATCAAATTTCTACACTGCCTGGATGATTTACAAATAATCCACACATAAAGTTGCAAGTAAAATATTGACAAAAGGAACAAAATGCAAACAAATGGAGGCCAATAATCTAATTTATCATATTATTTCACACATTTTTTTAAAAAAGCATGTCATATAAGATCACTTATTTGCAATGAAAATAACAAATATAAGCAATATATTATGAGGATTGAATGACTCTAATGTCATTGCCAAAACATGGTAATGCTGGTATACTTGAAGCTCTAACACAGTGGTTCCTGAACTTTTTATTATCACACCTCCTTTTAGTGTAAACTTAATGTATATACCTCCCCTAAATAACCAAACAACAAAATGTACAGAAATGAACAATGAAAATGATACAATGAAACTTTGAGTAAGGTGGATTGTAACCATGTAAAACTAAAAAGTTCTTCACACTTTCCCTGGATTTTGTCTATAAATCCTCAAGGGACATACACCTCAGTTCAGGAAACCGCATCCTAACATTTTGTTAACATCTGTTCTTTCACTTCAGTGGGCTGCAAGTTGGTGTGAGAAAAGGTTGTGTTGCTAATGTTTATGAAATGGAAGCTTGCATTAGTACTTGTGTGTGTGCATTTCTGACTGCTGAAGGAATCCTTCCAACTGAAATTCACCACAGAACATGTGTTTATGGCAAGGACTGTATTAATATGAGTCACCCAAGAGACGAATAACTGCCAGGACCTTACTGAAGAAACTTTAAGATTCTTGTTTTTTGCTGACAAATGTGATTATATGAAGAAGTAAAATATTGTACAGGTAACAAAAGAGATGAGTCAAGGATTATTTTCCTATTTCATTTATTAAAATATCCATATTTAAATTGAAGTTATTTATATATAACTTTGATCAACCCTTGTTTAGAGCTCCTTGTCAAATAGTGAGGTTAAAAAAAATCTTTTAAACAGTAAACTACACTCAGAATGATGATATGTCTGCAAGAAAATAATGAAGCTCTAAGAGTACCAAGGACTCCTAGTCAACTACATTTAGCCCTACTGCAAGTAGGATAGGCATAAATTTACAAACATTCATGATAACAAGACTGCTTCATGAAGATTTCTGCTGAGAAAAAAAATCTGGCGGCATAACTTACCTGCCTCTTGTCGCAACACACCCCTAGCATCCAATATTCTGCAGGCTTCCAATGCACACTGGATCATTGCTTCTTTTTTCTTCCCTGAATGAATAGCTTCTGCCACAAGCTGTTTCCCTGAGGCATCATCTATAGGTAGCCTATCCAATTTAGTGGGATGAAAGTATAAAGCAAAATCAACAATTCAGTCAATTCCTCTGATTTGTTTTTTTAAATCAAACATTTTAAAATTGCCTTAAGCAAAATATTTGTGTTATTTTAAAGTTAAGGTATTTAGTTATTTCAAATTATTTTTCAAGTTCAGATATATTAGTAAAAATCTCTATGGCATAGGTATAATAGACAAATCAAAACAAAAAATAGACACAAAAAATGCAAAAACCCAGTCAACTACCAAAACCAGCCAGAAAACAATACAAAACAAAAAACCTACCAACACTCACACCTAACAAAAAATAATTTTCAATTATCAATCCATATCTAGAAATAAGGGTCATAACATTTTTTTGCAGCCTGTCCAATTGAATGAATAAATATACACAAAATTGTTGCATAATATACATACATACTTCACCCTACAAAGCCAGGTGCCTGTTCCATGGGAATCAAATTCATATTCCAATTCTTCACCTAGATAAAAAAGGGAAAAGGGAATCAAACTATTGGTTATAAAATACAGCTTTTTATATCTATATTAATCAATATTTTATTACTTTTCTAAACTTGTTAGTTTAATTAAATAGATTAAACCATTCTGGCACTTCCAAAATGACTGAAACATTAAATGTTTGAAATCTTTAAGTAGTTATCTGGTTGTTAAATGCTACTAGCTCTGCAAAAAATTTCATCTGAGAATTGCTATGTTTAATTTGGATCCATTTATCAATTAATAGTAAAAGCTACATCCAACACTATGCAAGCAATTTCTTTTTATTCTCCTCGCTTGCTTCTTAGGTCTTCAGCATCAACCAATATGCAGATGATACCTGAAGTCTCCACTTTACTAATTTGGTCCACACAGATATCTGTATCAAGTAGTGCTGGATGTGACATTATTTGGCAAATGACTGAAAACCTGATCTACCATAGTACTAATGACATGTTTTTAGTAAGTGAAATGCAGCCTTGTGGAGCTCCATGTTCTTTAACAAAAAGAGTGTTCCTTAATTCATCTTTGTTCTTAGATGGTTATATACCTCCATACAATCAGCTGCATCATTTCTTGAAAACCACAAACTTGGTTACTATTAAATGTCCTAATTAGACAACTCCAATACATTTTATAATAATTCCTTCTAAAAAGAGTTTGTTAATAACAGCAAGTGTGTGTAGATGTGGCCAAGCTGTTGTTTAACTCCACTATTAACTACTGAAAACAGTGAGTTTTTCAGGTTAAAAAAAAACCCCAACAATTTGGGAACTTAAAAACTCAGCAGTGTTATGTTTCCCTTCATGGGAGGCAGGTAGGCAGGCTTCCTATAGAGCAGGGGTGTCAAACTCACAACGTGACATGACTTGTAGCGATGTATCGTGACTTTTTTCCATTGCCAGCAATGGAATCGGAGCGGTTTTGCTAGGATGCATCCGGCCCGTGTGCGGGCTGGCAGTTTGACACCCCTGCTATAGAGGCTGGATAGTGATCAGTCTGAAATGCTTTAGCAGATCTTGCACTAAGCAATGGGGCTGGATCAGATGACTTGTAAGGCCTTTTCAACTCTATGATTCTACTTGAATGTAGAAATTCAACATATGCTCCTGGTTTTATAGTTTTTATGTTTTAATGGCGTAAAATGATTCTTTAATATGTTGTAAATTAAACAGGCAAAGTCAAAATGACAGAAATAAGTCATTCTTTGGAACACTAGAAAGAGACAAATGCACTGGATATTTTTGGCTAGTACCTTCTCTATCAAAAAAACCTTGCAATGCTTTTTTGGGATCTTTCATATAAAAGGCTTCTTGATCCTCTTGAAACTCAACAGCAATTGGATTTTCTTCACCCTCTTCTTCTTCTGCATCTTCCCCTGAAAAATAAATCAGGTAGAATTGGGCATCAGAGATGATTCATAAGACAAGAACATAAAACTTTCACCTAACTTAGCATGACTAGCATTCTATTTTCAGAGTTGCCAGTCAGATAGTTATGAGAAATCGAAATTGAGACATGTTGTAGATTACACTTGTCTTCATGCTCTTCAGAATTTTTTAGAAACATATTGTTTTCAATACAGGAGAAATTATAGACATGATTAGTAACCACTGCAACCTTTCATTTCATACATTTATCTAGTTCCATTTTCATATCAGTCATACTTTCCAGAAACAAATTCCAAATGTTAAATGTGTGTAAAGTAGTATTTTTGTTCCCATTTCCAATATTTTTATTTCCAAATGAAAAAAGTTTCATTTAAGGATATTGTATTCTAGGACAAGGGGAAGAAAACCTTTTTCCGGGTTAATTTTCCTCGGACCATGTGTGAATCATATTACTTGATTATTTTTCATGGGCTGAATGTTGTAACATTTATTTTCAGCATCTAAAAGGTTTTCATTCTAAAAGGTTTCATTCTAAAAGATTTTCTTTTTAATGTGTTGCCTACTAACATTTTTGTGCAATATTACCAGCATCAGAAACTGACTGCATTATAACATTGACAATTTTGTTATAGATCACTTTCTTAATAATTCCTTACACAGATTCTGATTTATTATGCATTGCTTTTTTCCAACTATGGAAAAAGTAATATTTTCATCCAACTGTCTTTCATAATCCTGAGAACATTTTGTTATGGGTTATCATCTATTAGGAGTTTTTGCTTCACTGTTTGCATTCACAGAATCACATTTGCCACTTTACTGCCCAGCTTTAGTTCTATTAATTTGGAGAGATTGCTTTGTATCTCCTCCTCCTTGCTCTAGCCATCTAAATTATTTACTGATATCTGTGCATTTCACCACTGACTTCAAATATAACCTATTTTTATAATTAAAAACTACTAATTCTATTACAAGGGCTTGAATGATCTCACTGTTGAAATTTCTCCACTGTGAGATCATCATTTATTCCTAGTCTCTTCTTTCCTTTAATTAATTAATGAGATGTTTATAAGTAATGTTTATAGTACATTACTGGTTATTTTGTTATTTTGCTCCTATATTACTTTTTAACACTGTAATAATCTCCAGAAGAACATAAAAAAGCAGTATTTTTATTATGAGTGATAAAAACCCTTTTTCACTCCTGTACTGAATTTAATGGACAGACATGATCCGTTTCAGAATTCCCCAAATTTTGCCACTACAAATTGAATGATCCATCATCTCTAGAAAAGAAAATTACTTCAAGGACAAATGACTCAATTATCTGACACAGTAAAGTTTTAGAAAAGCATTTCAAATAAATACAGTCAAATGAATTTATAAATTAAAAATCTGAATATAATGAATTTATCAAAGTAAATCTATTTTAGGAAAAATGCATGAATATTCAGTAGATTAACTCAGAAAATTCAGACTACCCAAGAAGCTCTGATACACTTCTACAAAGGAATTATTGAATCTGTCATTTGCACCTCTATAACTGTCTGGTTTGGCACTGCAACCAAACAAGACAGACACAGACTTCAACAGATAATTAGAACTGCAGAAAAAAAAAAACCTGTTACCAGCCTTCCTTCCTTTGAGAATCTGTATATTACACGAGCCAGAAGGAGGGCTGTGAAAATATCTACAGACCCCCCACATCCTAGACATAAATGGTTTCAACTTCTTCCCTCAAAACGACGCTATAGGGCATTGCACGCCAAAATAACTAGACACAAGGACAGTTCCCCCCCCCCCATGCCATCACTCTGCTAAACAACTAATTCCACAACACCGTCAAACTACCTCGTAGGAGTAGTATTATTATTATCCTTATCATCTTTCCTATTATCTATTTCCTTATCTTCTTATGACTATAGTTTTGTTGCTTGTATCTTATGATTTAAATTGTTTTATTTAATATCTGAGTATGATTTATGTTGATTGCTTATTTAGTATCCTATGACTACAACTGAGTGTTCTATCTTATGATTTATGATGAATGTATTTTATGATTATGATCATGATTTATCATGTTTCTTGTATGTACACTGAGAGCTTATGCACCAGATACAAAATCCTTGTGTGTCCAATCACACTTGGCTAATAGAGTTGAATTCTATTGTTCTGTTTTGTTCTGTTCTATTCTGTTCCGTTCCGTTCCATTCCATTCTCAATAATAATTTATGTTTGGGAGATAAGATGGTATCTTATATATCTTTAGCTTATATATCAAGCCTGAAATATTAAGCAAATTTATCTTTCTCAAATGGATCACTTTCTTCTTAGCATGGTTCCTACAGATCATTCAGTAAAATCCATTATAGGTAGTTCTTGACTTAAAACAGTTTGTTTAGTAACCATTCAAAGTTACAATGGCACTGAAAAAAGTGTCTTATGACCATTTTTCACACTTATGACCGTTGTAGCATCCACATGGTCACATGGTTTACATTTAGATGCTTGACAACTGACTTACATTTATAATGGTTGCAGAGGACCAGGGTCATGTGATTCCCTTTTGCGACCATATGACAAGCAAAGTCAATGGGGAAACTGGATTCATTTAACAATGTGTAACTAATTTAACAACTGCAATGATTCACTTAACAGATGTGGCAAGAAAAGTTGTAAAATGGGGCAAGACTCACTTAACAAATTTCTCAACATAAATTTTGGGCTCAATTGTGGTTGTAAGTTGAGGACTACCTGTAAAAGGATTGATAAACTATTTGACTGCATACAATCTATGCTATATGCTCAATTTACATCTGATATGATTTTGGGAATTTTTAACATTAAATAGATTTAATTTTAATTAAAAAAACCCACATTTTGCTTCTGATTTAGAGTATTGTGAAATATAAAGATGACAACCAATCAGAGGTATAAATGTGGATTTTCTGAATATAAAGCATTTGCTCATACATACCTGGATCCATTTCTCTAGAACTAAACATAATGCATATATCTAGACATTTTCTCTTAGCACATTACTGGTAAACACAAGTTATATTAGATCATTCCAATCACATTTCATACAAAGAATTTATAAAAGAACTTGAAATAGAATATGGCTGAGGAAAGTAGTAAATAGGATTCAAGTCAAAAGCAAATTGCATCTGCAAAGTGACATAGCAAATCATTGCAAAATAAGCTCCATGAAAATATATCATTGGAGATTCTGGCAACAAATTCTTACCCATTCCCCAGGAACAGCTTAAATCATTCCGACTATTTTCACTTTTTTTTATTTCCATTTCCTTTTGATCCTCATCAGAATCATCACCCAGCATAGTTTTTTCTAACTTGGCCAGTTTCTGCTTACGCAGATCTTTCAGCTGTGTTACAGTCAGTTCTGATTCCGGTTCTTGATCCTCCTCTGGGCCCTGGGGATTAAAGTTATGAATTTAAAAACTATTCGCCAAGAATTAATCCCATTCAATTAATTGCATCTTACTTTTTAGTGATTATAACCCAAGTTTCATAGATACTGCAAAACTAATACTGTACGGGATAACATTCACATCATAGAAAAATCAGCATCTTATTCTAATTTCCAGCATTGATGCTTAAAGGTATCAGACATTATCTGAATACAGTGAAGACAAATGTGATTTAATACTGGAAAAAGTCTGATGCAAGTTGCAAATGAGAATAATGAAAGCTATCAAAGGAGCTTTGTAATGTGCAAATAGCATATTCAATCAGCATATTTATTCTAACATTAAAAATGTAATCTTTCCATATTTTCTGTCTGCTTTTTGACATTGTTCACAAGAGGATTTTGTATTGTTTCAATTATGTATTTATGTATAATAGTAAAAGACTCAGATCTCCCCCAAAATAAAACATAAATAAAAATCAACTTCCGAGTACCTTATTATCTTTGGAAGTCACACATCATAAAGGCAAAATAAACGTGGAAAAAAATATATAACTCCTATAAACAAAAACGGCAAAGCATATATTTAAAAATATTGTGCCTCTGAACTGCCTCTAGAACTAAAGACTAGCTTACGGGGATAAACTTAAGAGACAGCTATCAAATTCTGGGCAACATTTCCACGGGATACATTTTTTCCCCTTTAATAATAAGGAGCGATACTTGAGTCACCCGGACACGGGCTCTCTTGCCTAGAGGCTGGGCAGGCTGCTCCCTCACTCACCTGCAAGATGAAGAGGCGGCTACTGCCCCCGAAACGCAAGACGTGACCCACTCGGACTCGACAGTAGGTGCGGGGAGGGACCCTCGCTTTGTTGAGGAAGGTGCCGTGGGCACTGTCCAGGTCGTAGACATACAGGCCGGGTTCGGGGCTCTCCGACGCCAGGGGCTCTTCCCCTTCAGCGGAGCTCCGTGGCGGCCGGCGCTGAAGCACGGCGTGGTGCCGCGAAACGCAAGGGTGAACCAAGGAGAGGTCGCAGTCCGGCGCGCGGCCTACTAGGATCCGGCTCTGGCCGACGAGGCTGATGCGGTCCAGGACCGCGCCGCCTTTTACCGTCTCCAGGCTATAGCCGGATGAGTCCTCTTCTGAGGGGCAACCTCCCCACGGCGGCTCCTGATACTCGGGAAGGACAGGGGGAGAGGGGCCTACCGCAGGGCCGTGGGGGCGCTTAGGAGCCACCCCCTCGGCTGCCTTTCCTCGAGCGAGAGAAAGAGGCAACGGAGGGGGCAAAATCGGCTTCTTAAAGTCTTCAGCCACATTACCCTCTTCTGTGGGAGCCGCCATCTTAGCACGTCCGCTTCTCCAACGGGTCCCCCAGGAAACTGCTTCGCTGGCTCTTCGGTTCCGGGAGAAGCGGCCTTTCATGTAGGGGATGGGCTCTTTTCAGGCTGCTGCGGAGTGAAGCGGGCGAGCGGAAAGGAAAAAAAAAAAAAAGATGCGCCCGTAATTTAGGGCCAAACGCTGGGCGCTATTTGGTTTTTCCAAAAAAGTATCCCTAAATTAACCTTGAGGGATTCCTTAGGTTGGGGACTTCCTGAATTCGGTTTCGTCGAGCATTGCGGTACTGAAAGTCTTTGGCACGGTAAGGCCGCGCGGGGACCCGTTGTTGCTACGATTAAGTTGATGCCAGAGGCACGGGTTGAAATTTCAAACCTATACAATCTCATTCAATGGATGCAACCCACTTTATGTGGTTCCTCATAAAGAATCCGGGCAGCATTCGGATGTGGAACAGCTGTGCGGGCTTTTTTCTTTTCGGGATTAAGTCTTGTGCACCAACTTTTCTCCAATCCGATGCGGACGTCGGATGTGTGCAGATATTCACATTTACAGAAACGACGGCTACTAGAGGGCACCAGGTTGAAGAACGTTTGTAGACAAAACTGTACTTATGCACTATAAAGTTGACCATATATATTCAGTCCTATGGTGTTCCGTGGCCTTTACCGCCAGAGGACTGTGGACAGCATTTTAGTCACTCTGTAGCATGTCAGCCCTAAAATCAGACCAACATCAACTTGATCTTGATCTAAGATCAGACTGAGAAATTCATATTGAGACTAAAACTATTTTTATTAAATTTGGCTACAGTAACAGAAACTTACAGTTTTGTTTTTGGTTTACCACCTCCCTCTCTTAGACTATGCCAATTAGGAAGATGTCTGAGTTATTTCTGTATTCCACCATTTTTCTTTTCATTGCTTTGGTAATGGATCTTAGAAAACTTTAAGAGCTAGAGCTGTCTAGAATATAAATCCTTTAGTCTACAATATGTGGAGAATTAATCAAGGTTAAAAACAATCATATACTTAGAATCCAGTCATAAATGTGAAGAACAACAACAAAATATTTCCACTGCTCATAAGTTGTTTTGCCTATTTACAGGACATGGAACCTATATGAGGGAGCATAAGTTCAAAGTCTGTCGTCAATTTATGTTAGTGTGAACACATTTTATTTATCAAATTTAGGTACTGCCCATCTCACTTTCAGAGTGACTCTGGATGGTGTACAGTTAAAAGTATAAAAACATAAAATATAAAAACATTTAATGAATATAGATTTCATGTAATAAAAATGAGCAGAATAACAATTTGATTACTTTACTTGCTGGAAATAGATTTATATTACAGGTAGTCCTTGACTTACCACCATTCATTTAGCAATTGTTCAAAGTTACAATGATACTGGGAAAAAATGATTACTGACCTCACATTTATGTCTTTATAGCATCCGTTTGATTATGTGATCAATATTTGGGTGCTTGGCAGCTGACATGTATTTATGATGGTTGCAGCATCCTGGTGTCATGTGATCACCATTTGTGATCTTCCCAGCCAGCTTCCAACACTTAATAACTGCAGGGATTTGCTTAACAACCATGCCAAAAAAGGTTGTAAAATTGGGCACAACTTAATGCTTAGCAACAGAAGTTCTGATCCCAATTATGGTTGTAAGTCAAAGTCTACCTGCTCTTGCTGATCTAATATAAATGACAATGTGAATAAGTTCAAAATAAACTTGCATGCTTTTTGTATAGGTCTGTATTAAAAAATCAAGTCTATTTTCAATTTAGCTAGTGGCTTCATGGAGATATCTGTGTAATTTTCTTGGCAATAGTACAGAAATAGTATGTTACAACAGTACCTTCTATTACTACCTGAACAATTGATATTTATGTTATGTGGCAGCATTTCCTTGGTTGGCACCAACTAAAGTCCTATTCCCATATAGAGCTTTAAAAATATATATTTACTTCATGAATAAACCTAAGCTAGAAAGCTAGATATGTTCTGTTTTCCTCATTATGAAGCTTATAATTCATTCCTCAGAATTGTATCCTGTTTGGCACAATTAAGAATAGCGCTGCAGGACAAACAAAGGCTTCTGCTTGGCTTTTTGAAATTTCTTTAGCTTCTTTAGAATTATAAATTATAAATCGTAAAGGGAGCCAGTTTGGTCTAGTACAGTGGTTCTCAACCTTTTTAATGCCACGACCCCCAACCGGTCGTAAGTCGAGGACTAAACCGGTCGTAGGTCGAGGACTAAACCGGTCGTAAGTTGAGGACTACCCAACCAGTCGTAAGTCAAGGACTTTCCCTGCCCAGGAGCGCCGCGCATGCGTGGTGCCGCCTCCTGCGCCGACTGATGCGTAGCTGGCAAGCTGGCCCAGCCCAAGGGAGGTAAGGCACCCGCCGGAAAAGGGGAAAAAATGGCGGACAGCCTTGCATGGCGACCCCTGTGAAATGGTCAATCGACCCCAAATGGGGTCGCGACCCATAGGTTGAGAACCGCTGGTCTAGTAGTTAAGGCACCAGGCTAGAAATCAGAAGATCATGAGTTCTAGTTCTGACTTTGGTGTGAAAGCTAGCTCGGTGACATTGGGCCAATCATTCACTCAGCCCAACCCACCTCACAGGGATGATGTTGTGGGGAAAATAGAAAGAGGAAGGTATGTTGGATATGTTTGCTACCTTATTTGTAAAAATAAAGGTAGGATACAAATAAAAATAAATGATTTGCATAAAAAGAAGGAAAATAAGGATTGCTATACAAGATTCACTTTCTTTCACTGCTATTCCTTTATCCTACAAAAGTTAAAGATGACTCTGCAGCGAGAAGCTCTATGAATAGAGACTACAAGCTACTAGTAGTTGCATAATAGTTATGGGAAAAAAGGCACCGATTCATGTCTCTGATAGGTGCTATTTCTGAGCTTATTTGCTTTGGTTGCTTTTGACATCCAACTTTCCTTTCAAATCTAATCTACAGGATTTAGTTCTCTTAGAAATATTTTCTGCCTCCATAAAGAACATGCAAAGTATGCTGTTTGGGAACAATCTTTTCTGTGTTTATAGAATATTTTGTATTTAACATTAGTTAACTCACTGGAGAAGGGCCTAATGCTGGGAAAGATTGAGGGCAATAGAAGAAGGAGACGACAGAGAATGAGATGGCTGGATGGAGTCACTGAAGCAGTAGATGTGAACTTAAATGGACTCCAGAAGATGGTAGAGGACAGGAAGACCTGGAGGAACATTGTCCATGGGGTCGCGATGGGTTGGACATGACTTCGCAATTAACAACAAAAACATTCATAATAATGATGTTCTTTTGCTTTTAGAAGGGCAGACGCCACTATATTTATGTCAGATTTCATGCTTTTAAAACAAGATGTACAATTTTAGATTTAACGTCTACTAATTGGGGGAAATGCAATCTAATTCATAATGGTGATATGAAGTTTAGCATAATAAAAGTAATAAAACATGTTTCAAATTAAACATTAACACTTATGAAATTATGAATAAATAATTTATGGCTTGGGATCTAAAATCTGTTAATAACATTGTTCATTAGTTCAATTACTTGTGAATCTTTGGGATTAAGATATCAGTAGCTCCTTCTTTACATTCTTGTAAGTTCTTGCTTTTATAATTTGTTATACGGTAGTATGTAGCTACTTGGTTTTCTAGGCTACATTTGATTTTTCTAATCAGGGTTTTCACCAGTGATTCTTGTCTTCATGTTATGTGTCTGAAATATTTCAGCTTTAATTTCCGGTGAGCAGTATGAAGAATGAGATTAAAAACAACTTTATATTTAGTTTTGTTAATTTTCTTAGAGAAAGTAAGAAGATACCCACCTCCTTCAAAGTAATGATATGTGGGAAAATCATTTTCCTATCATCTAAATGTGTAATTATTCCACATAGCACCTTCATTCCATTTAAGATTTCACAAGATCTTTTCCTCTGATCTTTCCACCCCCCCCGTGCTGTTATGTGCATGGGTATATTATGCAATCTTGGAGTCTCTTCTTCCATTTTCTAAGAATAGAATATATTGTATGAATGCCAAAGGGAGAAATTTCTGTTGGAATGTTTGTTAAAAAGTGGGGTAAGATTGAAGATTAGTTGTTGCTTGGAAGGCGTTGTTTGCCTAATGAATGTCACTTTTTTGTAACATCTGAATAAAACGTCTCTCTCTTCTTTACTTCTCTGCTAAATTAGTTTTTCTCCTTGCCCTAACCTTGCCTAGTTTCCATCTGTTTCTTTTCTTTTTTGTTGCTGTTTTTGCTGGAAGGAGGGAGTTTGTGTTTGTGTGTGTGTGTGTGTGTGTGTTACCTGCATGTATGTCTGCATAAGAGTGGATTTTCTATTTGAAAAAAAGTAATTGGTATATCCAATGATGAATGAATTAACTGTATAAAGAAGATATTTTATGAACCATTAATTTTAATCATCAATTAATGTAATTTGTATAATTAATTACATTGTATAATTTGGGATTGTGACTTATTTCAAGTATATGTACAGATATGTACATGCACATATGCCACATGCCTGCATTTATAAGATGGACATAGGGAGCAATTTCTAGGATTAGTTTTAGTTGGGCTGGCAATTTTGGGATTGACAGAGTAGACTAATGTGTTATGACATATAACTTTTTTTTCTGTGTTTATATTTTTATCACCTCTTTTGGATTAGAAAGTCATTTTGCAGTCATCTAACAATAACATCAACAACAAAATTTCCCTCTCTTCCTCGCTAAACACAGTAGTGAGATGTTTCTTTATCTTTTGCACTAAAGATTATTCAGACAAAAAACCCTATGGCTATAGTTCTTTCAAAAATATAAAAGGCAATAGTTATTTTGTTTTGTGTCTAGCTTTGATATTAAGTCATGGATCTTTCGTGAGACAGAAACCATAACTTTTTTTGCCAATTTCTTGTTTTTCCTCCAGAGACATTAAGAAAGTCACTGCTTAAAGCAGATGTTGCTGAATTAATTTATATAGACCGTATTACTTCATGAACTCTTCAGCTGCAATGAGAACTCAATAGTACATTTTTAGATTACCTGCTCCCCACAGTTTGCCAAATCAAATAATTAACTTCGCAAGGATACTATAGAGTCAATTTTCTTCATAGGACGATTACTTTGTTATCTGAACTATTACCTGAATATATTCTGTTTGGTCAACCAGTAAGATGCTCCGCTACTGGGGTGAGATCCCTGTTTCCTCCAGTCAGACCAACCGCAGCTCTTTTGACTTGCTTCAGCGGGAGTTCCGTACTGTAGAGGTCCAGGATCCTCCATTGCATCAACCTTCAGCTAACAAGCCTAAGCCCATAACCATACTCGATCTTCCTTCAGAGCCCTGTAGTCTCACCATTCATACTGTCCAGCTAATCCAGCATAATAGGAAGTTGCGTAGTCTTATTGCCACGGCTCAGACTCAGAACCAACAGCAATTGGAGGGTATCAAGATGGAAGGAAGTGAGCCTTTGCCAACTTGTCCTGGGTCCCCACCTCTCCCTGATGACTTGCTTACTTTGGATAGTAAAACACCCAAGATGCCATTCCAGTTGAGGCACAGTGATCCAGAAAGTGACTTTTATAGGTAAGTTGTGGTAGTTTTGGTATAGTGACCACTGGATTATGCTGTACTAATCTGAAGTTTACATTCCACTGTGCTCAGTACCATTTCCTCTTCCATTTCTATTAGCTTAATTTTAAATGTCTTTTCTTGTGAAATGATCCCCTGCTGGATTTTGGTCCCTTAAGCAAATCTGCAAAAATATAGAATTGACCTATTTGGGCATTATAAGTGTGGGGGCTTTTGCTGTATGGATATAGTCCATTTTTGTAATCACCTGAAAATACCATTTTTACCTTTTATATGATTAACTTTAATCTTTGGTGGTCATTCGGAAATAACTAGCCTTTATCATATGGAATATCAAGAACTAAGCATGGCAGTGATTCCAAATCGCGGCCCAGAATCCTATTTCTGTTTAATGTCCTAGGGTCTTAGGGTGCAATGGATTAATCACATCTTGTGTTGTGTTTCTCTACCCCATATTCAGTAGCAATCTGCCAATGAACTGCTGCCTCTTATTTTTTTGAACCAGCACAGCAAATTGTTTATGTATTCTGAGACTGCTAGAGTCTCAGAATACAGTATTGGAACTAGAGAAAAATACTTGGCTGTCACTGATGGCAATATTTAAGGGTGGCACCTGCTTCAAATTTCTGTTTCAAAGAAAAAGCAAAAGGAAATTAGGAAAGGAATTGGTACTGCTAGATCAAAATCAGGAAAGGTAGAGAACAAGCTTTTCTATTTTTGAATACTGGATGCTAGGCAATATAATTTACTAGCATCATTCTTTGTTTTATCTGGAAGGAATTTTGTATCAGGAAATGGATTTTTGTTACACTTCAGTGACTCGAAAATAGAACCCAGGAAGTGTGATGTTTTATAAAATGGAAGCAATTGTAAGAAAGCCATCTTTGCTTTCCTGAACCTGTTTTTATACTCTCATTTATCTTTGAAGAGGCCAGTAGGTTCAGCCTATGGTTTTATTTGAATGGACCTCAGTTTTTTCTGCACCTGTCAGATCAGTCCAAATTCCTTCCTCTTCATGCACTGATTAAATGGGAAGTAGACAACTGGAATTGGCTACTTAAAGTTGCTATGTGATAGAGTTTCATATCACTTCCTTTGAGAATGTTTAATGGATAGTGATTAAAACAAAACAAAAAAATGACCCATTTTGTAATGTCTGAAATAGCACTAATAATAAGCCATGTTTGGTTTATTTAGCTTATCAGATGTGCGATTGTTTTGGAAGTATATAATCTCTCTCTGCCAGAAAAGAAAAGGGACATGCTAATATTCTACTATTGAGAGCTGTCTTCAGCATGACAAATACCAACTTGATAGAACATGAGTTGCACAGAAAAGGCCTCAAGTGCAGTCTTGGTATGATTGCAAAAAACCCCTTCCATTTAAATCTCAGAGATAGTCCTCAATTTGCTTGAATCTGATACCTTCCAGATATGTTGGAGGATGCTAACCAAGGGAGAAGGAAGCTCTAGCCCAGGAGTGTCAAACTCAGTTTCATTGAGGGCCGCATCAGTATTGCGGTTGCCCTCGGGCCTGGGTGGGTGTGGCCAGGGTGAGTGCGCCCTACTGGGTGGGCGTGGATGGAGTGGGTGTGGCCTGCTGGGTGAGCATGGCCAGTCTGCGTCGTTCACGTCAATGGTGCCTGTGGGGACCTGGGCAGGAATGGGACAGATCTGAGGGTCTCTGGCAGAAGGGGGTGGGACCAGGACAAATGCCAAGGCATGATTCACTGGAGGAGCCTCACTGTTTCTCTCAGGCCATGTGGTGGGGTGGATGGTGGTGCGGGCTGCCCGGAGCCCTGGGCAGCAGAGGTCAAATGCCTAGCCTGGCCCTCGAGCACCCGCGGCACCAAGCCCAGCCCCACTTCCCCAAGGGGGCACCTAGCTGCACTTACCTCCTCCTCAAGGCTTCTGCTGCTGTGTTTGCTCTCCTTAGCCAAGTTGTTCATGATGGGTACGAGGGCAAAATCAGAGGGAGGCCCATTCCCTCTCCATGGGAGGAGACCCGGCTTTGTATACAAAGCTTCCTTAGCAATAGGATGGGAGACCCCCAGGATAGGCCAGGAGGAGGGAGCAAGGGGATGGTGAAAGGGCAGCAGGGGAGGACTAAGGCAGGACTTCCCTCAGATCCTCCCTCTCCTTTTCTTCTTTCCTTCCTTCCTTCCTAAGTACAGAGTGGTGGGAAAATATTTGAGATGAGGGAGGGAGAAAAACAGGCAAGAAACACAGCTAGGGAGGTGTCACCCTTCGTGAGAAATGAAGAAATGCACCATCGCCTGGAAGTGGCCAGCACATGGCCTTCACCTACTTCATATACCTGACTTGGTGGGCTCTGGGGGAGGGGATGCCATGTACAGCGTGAGAGTCAATGTTACCTGCACAATGCCACCCAGCCCCTAGCCTGCCTGGTTTTGGCAGGTAGTGAGGCGCTCTCCTCATAGTGCCGAGAGGCTGAGCCAGGTGGCGCGAATCCGAAAAGAAGTGCGATGCCGCCCAGCCCCCAGCCTGCCTGGTCTTGGCAAGCAGAGGGGCACTCTCCTCACAATGCTGAGAGGTTGAACTGGGCAGTGCGAAGCTCACTAGCTTTGCACCTTGCTGCCTGCTGAAACTGGGCAGGCTGGGGGCTAGGCAGTATTGCACTTCTCATTAGATTCACGGCACCCGGCTCAGCCTCTCGGCACTGTGAGGAAAGCGCCCCGCTGCCTGCTGAAACCCCTCCCCGGGAGCCAATCAAGCCGGATATGTGAAGTAGGCCAGTGTGATGGTGCATTTCTTCATTCCTCACAAAGGGTGACACCTCCCCAGCATGCACCCAGGGGGCGGGGCCGACATGGCTGGGACTGGTTCCTCGCAGTTTCCAGACGGCCTTGTGGAGCTAAGACTGAATGCGTTTCAGCATAGATGACCACCACAAAATTGTACATTGGCTCCCTCCTGGCTGGCCAGGGCCAAGGCAGCGGCAGCCGTTCCCTCACTGTTTCTAGGATGGCTTTGCGGGCCACATGAAACCACCGTGGGCCGCATCCGGCCCCCGGACCTTGTGTTTGACATGTCTGCTTCAGCTAATACCTGTAGGAGGCACTAAGCTAGGGAAGGCAGCTCTATGCTATATTGAGCTTGATGGATTTATGTTGCAACTTTATATTTTAATATTATAATTCCATATTGTAGTTTTGTTAATCAAGTTTTGGAGATCTGAACAGGAAAATTAGATTTGTCAGTTCTCTATATATTATAGATTGTCAAAAATTTTATAAATATAAAATATTTATACTTCACAGTACTGAAGTTTTTCTTACTGTTTGCTTGATCTACAATTAAGGTTAAACAGAAGCTGATTTTTTTTCAGAATATGACTTGTGAAAACTAAAAGATCTTAGTCTTTAGTAGAATGGAGATTCATTATAAGGTTCTGTAGTTATTATTACAAATGTTGGTTTTGGGGAATCTTAATCTAATAGTTTTGACATATTGAAAAAGTAAATTTGTTTTTAAAAATAAAAAACCTCAATTATTGTTCAATTATAAGGATTATTGTGTGGAACAATTTTTTCAGATAATAATCCTTCAGGGGATTTTTTTTAATGTGTGTACATTACAGCTTCCAGGCTCAGCCTACATAATTTGAAGCCTGATTTTAAAGCTGCCATCTCTAAATCTTTAGGATAGAGTTAAATGTTCAACATAATTTGATTTCAAATTTCTAAAATCAATTAACTCTAGAAAAATGTGGATTAAATACTACAAATATTCAGTATTTAATTTTAGCTATATTGACTCTTTTACAGCACAGATCATTCATATTTAGTAATTAATATGAATATGTTGCCTGAGTTAAAGTCTAAAAAGTTATATATGATACTTTAAACACTGGTAACTGATTTTTTTTTTGCAATAGCGTTATTTTTATTGTATATTTTTAACTTCAAAAAAATTAATTATGAAATCAGACTGAGCACGCTACAATCTAGGCGTATTTTTTGTGTGTTTCAAGCTAGGTATTCCAAGTTAACTAGGAGGTTATTTGTTCTGAACACCTTAGCATGACTTTTGTCTTCAATTTTCATTGTTCTTGTTCATTATCTGATTGTAGAGGCAAAGGAGAGCCAGTAATAGAGTTGAGTTGGACCTCTTGCCGCCAGCTTCTTTATCAGTCTATAGCTACCATTTTAGCTCACACTGGCTTTGAATGTGCCCATGAAAGTGTTCTGGAGACTCTGACAGACATTGCCCATGAATACTGCTTGAAGTTCGCCAAACTTCTGCGTTGTGCTGTGGACAGAGAAGCTCGGCTTGGACAGACCCCTTTCCCAGATGTTATGGAACAAGTCTTCCATGAAGTGGGCATTGGCAGTGTGCTCTCTCTGCAGAGGTTTTGGCAACATCGAATTAAAGACTATCATAGCTATATGCTGCAGGTGAGGAAAGACAAATGAACTGCTGCTCATAATAAACTTCTTTGAATAGCCCAGCAATAATACCTCATCTCGTTCATTGAATTTTATTTGGCTTTGTTAGTCAATCCCCCTACATAAACTGTTTAGGTGTCTAAAGTGCCTCATCCACTATAGATGGAATGGAAAGAGACTTTGTGTACTACTATCCCCTTGCTCCCACAGTGCATTTTCCTCAAGGGCTTCATGTAGATATTGATGAACATGAAATATGGATTTCCGTGTTGTTCTGCAGTTAAATGACATGGGGCTGAGCCTATGTCCCCGAGGCTGTTGTCTGGAAACAGTCTTGAAGAAAGTGTAGAACCATGTACTCATTGTGCCATTTCTGACAGCAGTTCTCAGAGCAGATATTAAAAGTTTTCTATTCCTGAAGATTATGTTATGCACATCCAATTTTAACTTGATTACGGAATGATTCAGCTATAACAAGAATCAATAGTAATGCTTTCCAATGCTTGACAGTCAAGTCAGCCAAGTTAGGCAATCTTTTCAAAGCCAGGAGATGCACTTTTAAATATGAATTGTTTGGCCTTCAAAGGCTGGCAATAGTAGGGCAATGGCATGGTGACATAGTTGGAAAAGCAAGGCTGAAATTTTGTTATCTTCATTGGAGTTGGAAGGTTTTAAAAAAGTAAACTATACTATAATTATAACTATAATTCAGTGGAATAAAAATATTTTTGGTGAGGTAAGCTATTGGGACTGTATTCAGTTACTTTTTGGGGAAAAATACATTTGAAAAACAACTATCCATCTTATGTACTTTGTTCTGAATTTTGTGAAAGGTGAAATATGTATCACACCTATTGTGTGCAGTTCATAAGCCAATGATCTGGTTTGTACACTGCTAAACCTGGTTTCCTTAACCAAAGATTTTATTTATGAGATATATACCGCTTTAAGTGCAAGCACTCTCTAAGCGGTGTACACCAGTAAGCAATGTATATATATATATTTACATTGCCCCCAACAATCTGGGTCCTCATTTTACCTACCCCGGAAGGATGGAAGGCTGAGTCAACCTTGAGCCGGTGAGATTTGAACCGCTGATCTGCTGAACACAGTCAGCTAAAGTGGCCTGCAGTACTGCACTCTAACTGCTGCGCCACCTCGGCTCTTTTGATTGATAGACTGGAATTGGCTGATCATGAACCATGGCATATAAATCACAAGGTCTAAGTTCCCATGAATATATATACCCCAGAGAAAAAAGCAATGTTGTGGCTTAGTGTGCTATGTGAACAAAATCTCTGCTTCTCTAGTTTATAAGATCCAAGCAAGTCAGACACAAAAAAAATTGGAGGCTTGGTCATGAAAGAGACATCTTCATAAGGGTGAATTTGTCATAGAGGAACTGTGTTGTACCTTTATGTGTCTAACAATTGATTACAGTCAGCCTGTTCTTTGTTATTTCATGACTTATCAACAGGTTAGCAAGCAACTCTCTGAGGAGTATGAAAAGCTTGTAAACCCTGAGAAGGCAGCGGAAGATTTGAAACCTATGAAAATCAAGGAAGAACCTGTTAGTGACATCACATTTCCTATGAGTGAGGAGCTGGAGGGTGATCTTGCATCTGGAGACCAGTCATTGCCTGTTGGAGTCCTTGGAGCTCAGAGTGAACGCTTTTCATCCAACTTGGAAGCTGAGGCCTCTCCGCAAACTTCTGGTACATATTTTTATTTATTTTTCTCAGGCTTATATCTTGCATCAATCACAACTAATTCTAATGCTCCTAATTTATAGTAAAAAGAGGAAAACAATAAACACAATGGGAGAAATTCCTCACCTGTCATATCGTATCAGCGAATAAAAATCTACAATTCTATACAAAACAGAATACCTTTTACCATAGGATGGGCTTAGTCATCATTCTCAAAGGCCTTATGAAACAGCCAAGTCTCAATAGATTTCTTAAACCACGACAGGATTGTGCCAGTTTAATATCAAAGAAGATGCTATTCCAGAGGAAGAGTGGGCTATAGCGGGGAAGGCCTGACAACTCTGTTTCTTTATGGATAAGTATTTCCAGTATATGGGAATAGGGTTGATTTTTATTATGAAAATATACTTTATTTGTTTAAGTTGGGGTCAGCTATTAGAATAATATCCAAATTCAAAGCCTGAAGTTTTTTGGGTGATTTCACAAAATGGCTGCTATTGTAACATTACTAGTTATAAAGTATCAGTGGTCTTGTACTTGCTCTCACCATCTCTAGCCCAGGGGTGTCAAACTGCTGGCCCCCGGGCTGGATGCGTCATGCGGAAGCCACACCCACCCCATTGCCGGCAATGGCAAAACTCTCCTGATACGTTGTGCAACGTCATGTGTGACATCGCGAGTTTTACATGTCTGATCTAGCCGGATCATCCTATTCTTGCTTATTTTTGCACTTTGCATGAACAAATGGTGACACTTCAAAGGTCTAGGCTGCAGGCACTGCTTAATTTTATCTTTTATGAATGTTCATGGGTCCAATATGAAGCCTAGATGCATTTTGAAAAATAAACATAATAGAAGCTAGTGCTTTGCTCTGTAGCATTTCAACTTTTAATTTTTTAAGTAAAATTGAAATTGCAATACTTTTGTATTATATTAAAAAAATTGTGTCAATGGGCATTTTGGTACATTTTGGGACTTTGATACCTCTGGGTTCCCCAGTTCTAGCTGAAGGTTGTGCCTATATTGTGGTGCTGGTAGAATTGAGATACTGGGATATCAGTATAGCAGTTTTATCATTTGTCACACTAGCTTGTCTATTAAGCTTTGAAATGTTATTTATTTTTGGAGGGTAAAGGCAAGGTTAGAGGACAAAGTCAATAATCACTTTTCTAATTAAAACAGCTAAGAAAAACAACCCTACAGCTCGACTGAAGGAAATTGCTAATGATGTGTTTTGTGAACTGGCCCTTAAAATGTTAAATTCGCTTCTAGCTGAATTAAATTTCTAGTGTTAGATAAAGTTAGCTTGGAAATTGGATGTTAACAAATGCTACCTCTTTATAATTTTTTTAAGCCCTAAGGAGTTGTGATTTGCGTTTTAATGCTTGCTGGCTCAGAATACTTGCCATCTGTCCATTTCTTGTACTTATAAACAACACACTTTAAAATAACTGCTTAGGCTGCCTTAACACAGAAACTAAGCTATAATATGACTTACAGATAGTCCTCAACTTATGACCACAATTGAGCTCAAAAATTTCTGTTCCTAAGAAGACAGTTGTTAAATGAGTTTCACCTTACTTTAAGACCTTTCTTGCCATAACCGTTAAGGGAATGACTGCCGTTAAGTTGGTAACATGGTTGTTACTGGCTTTCCAACTGACTTTGCTTATGAAAAGGTTGCAAAAGGTGATCACATGATCCCAGGAGACTCAACTGTCATAAATACATACCAGTTACAAAAATGCCCAAATTTTGATCATATGACCATGGGAATGCTGCAGTGATTGTAAGTGTGAAAAATGGTCATAAATATTTGTATTTTCAGTCTAAGCAAGTACACTCATGTATGCATTCAAATATGCATCCAAGCAGGCATGCAAATATGCAGAAAGACATGTTCCATACTGTATGATGCAGAAATGATATCATCTTCTGTTTCCTTAGAGATGCATTGAAAATTTTATTTTAAGAAGGGATGTCTAAACCAGGGGTCCCCAATCCCCGGGCCATGGCCCGCTACTGGGCCATGGCCTGTTCGAAACCGGGTCATGACAGAAATGGGCAAACTTGTGCTTGTGAAAGTCCACTCACGTAAGCTAAAGATGCTTGTCCTTGCACGTGAAATTCCACTTGTGTGAGTGGAGAGCGCTTGCACCAGTGCATGAAGCTCCATTTGCACAAATGGAGCTTGGCACACAAGCACACTCCACTCGTGCAAGTGGATCTTGACGCACGAGCACAGGTGCCCTTCACATGCATGAGAGGAGTTTCCTGCGTGAGCACAAGTGCCTGATCACAAGCACAACCACCCTCCCCTTGCCCACAAAGCTCCATTTGCACGAGAGGGGTGTGTGCGTGCGATGCTTGCACAAATGGAGCTGCACTCACATGCGCCTGTCACTCACCACCACCACCCCATGCCGGGTCTGGCAGCCAAGCTGGAAATGTTGGAGACTGCTGATCTAAACTTTACAGCTGTAAGTGTCTAAGTTTGGAATAGATTAGGAACAGATTTTCATGTGCTGTGTGGTTGCTAAAGTTGTCACTGTGTTTTCTACAGTGCCTTAAAAATATACTCTGAGGGAAATGGTGCAGCTAAGTATTCCTAGATCATTTGGGAGTATATCACTCTTTGCTTGATGTGAATGTTTGATGTTAATATGTTGGCACCAAATTAAATATAATTATCCAATAGTAGATAAACAATTATTAAACATGTAGGAGTTCTTTTTTTCTTGATCTTTGTTTTCATTAGATGGCCCTTGTTATGGCTGCAAGTAATCCTCTGCACTGCATTATTTAAATACATTCATTTAGTATATTAAAATGATACAAAATGTGCATGTGTTTTAGGACCATTAAGTCCTAAGTGGGTTCTGGGGTATCTTATTTTATTTCCTCATCTTCAGTAGTATTAATATTTAACCTAGTCCATTGCTTCCTGATGAGTTAATCATACTCTGGATTTACTCTCTGTTCAGAATTCATTAAATAAATTAAAATATTTTCTTACTGCAAAATAGATGCTGGAAACATTAATAGTACTTGTATGATTCTTTTCTGTTTTTAATGTGTTATTTAGTTACCATATTTAACCAGTTCATTGATTGCAGTTTTTTCTCTCCCAGCTCTCATATTTGTGAGAAGTTACAGTTTTGCATCTTTTACTGATTAATGAAAAAAACCTTTCCTTCCTTCTTCCCTCAATCCTTTTCACTCTTTCTCTCCCCCCCCCCCTCTCTCCCTGTGCCAGGTGGTGAGGTGAACACTTCTCCTCTTTGGAACTTGGCCCCAGTAAAAATGGAACCACAAGAGAATGAGGAAAGTAATGTTCATGGACACCATGGAGTCTTAGGTGGTGATGTGTTTGAAGAGCCAATGTCAGGCATGAGTGAAGCTGGGATGCCACAGAGCCCAAATGGTTCTGAAAGCAGTTATGGTTCTCATTCCCCTGATAGTTTGATGAGCTCTTCACCAGTCTTCAACCAACGCAGCAAAAAGAAGATGAAGAAGATGTGAATTATAGCTAGGAAGTTCTGAGAATGTGGATTACTGTGTTTCCCCAAAAGTAAAGCTGCCCCCGAAAGTATGCCCCAGCTGATTTTTTGGGGGGTGGGCCTAATATATGCCCTCCCCCCGAAATTAAGCCCTACTTAAGGGCTTGCATGGATAGCCTACCTCTGTGATGAGGCGAAGCTGATGGAGGGGGAATCTGACCCACAGTACCAGTATCCCAATTGCTTACTGCTGCCCAGCACTGAGCACAACAAGCGATGCAGCAGATGGCCAGTTTCAGCATGATGCAGCCGTTTGCTGCCATCTGTGGTCATTTGCTGCCTCTGGTGTGCCCAGTGCCGTTGCCATGAGGCCTGGTAGATCTTCCCCACTTCTGACCCACGTGCTGTTATACTGGTTCCTTACCGCCACCTGGCTTGTTCCACGGCCTCATGGTAGTGGCATTGGCAGGAGGTAGCAAATGGCCTTTTTTTTTTTTTTTTACTGGTAGTCCCACAAACGTGGCGAAGGCTGAGAAGGGAATGGAGAAATGTAATGCAGCTGAAAGGCAGGTTAGTAAAAAAAATGCTTGGGGGAGGTGAGGGCATCTGGGCAGGGGCGGCAACCTTACTCTGCGCAACTTCAGCAGGCAGAGGGAAGCAACTTCACCCCCCCCCCCACATGGCAACCTTATCCTGCACGGCTTTGGCAGGTCTCTGGCAGGCGGAGGGACGCAACTGGTCCGCCACCATGCTCTTGCTGCCGTGTTGCTTCTCCACTCCATGCACAGGCCCTGCCTCATCCCCGCGTGCTCGAGGCCTACTGGTACCAGTACCAGCAATAAGTAAGCCCTCCCCGAAGGTAAAACCTAGTCCTTACTTCAGAGCCCAAAAGAAAGTAAGATAGGGTCTTACTTTCGGGGAAACACAGTAATTCAGCAACATTTAGACAGTTATCAAGGAAATAATGCCTGAATTGATGGATTTTGCATGTTGTGATTACTGTTCTACCTGAGAGACTTTCCACCAGCTGAAGGTCTAGATGGCTTACAATGGAGCAAACACCATACAGTAACATTAGTTTGGCAAAAAAATAATAATGTGTAAGTGACTTTCGGTGAAAAAAGAAATCAACTCTGATTTACAACATCGAATCTTGTAAACCAGTGTAGTTTCTGGTTAGTTAGATTTTAAGTAGTTTAAGTAGTGGTGCAAATTGCATTAGATAATAATTTAATAAATATTGACAGTATCTTTAATTTGAAGTGTGGAAACTGTGGAAGAGGCATGAGAACTGTATGACATTGTAATGGAAATCAGTAAATTCCATTTCACTTTTGTTATATATTATACTTTTCATTTTTTTACTCTGAATTTATACTTTGAAGAACAGATTTTTAATACAGAAATTTTGTTCCAATATAATTACTATTACCGTTGGTTTTTGCTTAAAACCATGGCTGATAATCTGTTTTTCATTTTAACAAACCAACTCACCATATATAAAGCTAATAGAAACTGGTGAATTTTATGTATTTATGGTTTTTATGTTATTTTATGTTTTTAATATTTTTATATTTTGATGTACAGTACATAGATTGCTTTGGCCTAAGATTGGTGCAGCAAACAAGCTTTATTAAATGAAACATTTTTTTTAAAAAAATGCATAATTTTATTTTCTTTATGGTAGTCCAGAAGGCCAATTTACTCAGAAAAATCATCCAGCTCTGCATACAAATCTCTTATGACTGATTTCTTAATCTTTTTTGTACCTACGTTCTGAGTATACTGTTGAACCTAACTTGAATGCAACTGAGAGTAAACTTTGAAAGACAGGACATCTACAAAACTGTGCTTTTTGTTAATTTATTGTATCATGCTATATTATTCCTTTACCAGTTTTTGTTTGTATTGTTAATGTTCAGTGTAAATCTAGATGGACACTTTATTGATCTGTGGAGAGTTTGTATGATACATGTTTTTAATTGTTGATTTTTTTACCTACTCTTGGACATGGTTTTTTAAAATAAATTTTCCCTTTCTTGACCATCTTTTTCTTGATTTCCTATGATTTGAGTTTCCAAAATCTTTTTTATTGTACCAGATAAAGCTTAATTTTTAAGGCTTAAATATTTTGTGTAGGCTATTGTTCAACTACTGACATTTTAAAAACTGCTTAATTAAAAACTGGCTTGAAATGAGGCAAGCATACTTCCTAATTATGTAAGAGGTTTCATTTAATAAAAAGAATAAATAGTTAATGGAAATCTTGCAAGCAAAGACTTTTGAAACTGTAATGTTAAAATACATTTTGAATTTTTTTTTTTAATGATTTCTATAAGATTTTTTTTTGAGCGCTTTGGAACTTTTTATAAAACAACTTTTCAGTGCAAGCAAGGACACAGTGAATGTATATTACAAGAATAGGATGGGGGGGGGGTCATGAAAATTTCATGCTGAAATTACTTTCTTGGAAGTTTCTAAAACTCTTAATCTGCAGTAAATCTGCCTTCTTGCTTCCAAGTGGATGATAATGGCTGGATTAACTCTTATCTATTACTTCCTACACAACTGCAAGAATAGACAGTCAATACTGTGCTTATTGAATTGTATCAAAACTCACAATTGTCTGAGGTTCAAAATATAACCTGGCAGGTATTCTTATCTGGGATTTTTGTTATCTACTCTAGAAGAACGGGTTGGATTTATACTGCCTTAAACACCGTAAATATCTTTAAAAATAGCTGAAGCTGTAGGTTACAGAAGTGCTGAGAGTTCTTTTAATTATTGCTAGACTTTACTCATAGAACTACAATTGTTCTTTCTGCAAGAGGAGGAAAGATAGTTCAAATAATTAAAATCTGTAAAATTGAAATACCACTGACTGGTGTCATTTGATTACACTACACATTAAGTCACAATTTTGGTTACTTTCATTGTAAAGAACAATTTCATTGAATAATCCACAATTGGCTAGAATCTTACAATACGCTAAATCCATTTTTGCAGCTTCTAGAACCTTTCAGACATTGCAAAAATTCAGAGGCAAAATGATGATCTTCAGTGGGAATATTTGATGAATATTAATTATTAATTAATATTATTAATTAATAATTAATATTATTTTTTATTAATAAATAAAAAATTTAACCAATGAAATAACTCCACCAAGGATCTTGGATTTCAAGGTACCTATTTTCTCTAAACTCCAAAATTCTTAAAAATAAAGAGCGGAAGATGTCCACTGTACCTCCTTTGATGACATCCTATTTGTTGCCATGCTTCTTCCTCCTCTTGTGACCCTCAGAGTCTGAAAATAAGGAATAAGCAGTCTCTGACTGAAAAAGATTGCCCTCTCGACCACCATAAATAATGGCTAACAAGCATTGGTAGGTGGTGCGATAGGCCAGAAAAAAACTACACTGGATAAAACAATTCTCTATGCCTTGTTTACTTATACCAGAGGTCCCCAACCTTTTGGGCACCAGGGACTGGTTCTATGGAGAGAAGTTTTCCCATGGACCAGAGTGTGCGTGGTTTTGTGTGCTGCCTGCATCTCACGGATGGGGCTTTGCTTGTTTGTGTGGATCAGTTGCTGGCATGCTGTGGACTGGTATTGGTCCACGGCCCAGGGGTTGGGGATCCTTGACTTATACCACAAATGCTTTGCAGCCCTAACCATAACCTGTTTCACAGGTTTAACATGTGTGCCAATTTCTAGATCATTCTCCCATTTGAACTATTATAATGTGCTTTATATGAAGTGTGCCCTTGAAGAGCTTTTGGAGCTGCAGCTGGTCCAGAATTCAGAAGCACAGGCAGTTCTGAGTATTTCACAATGCACCCATGTAACACCTCTGCTCTGGATCCCAGTGGACTTCTAGATGCAATTCAAGCCATTGGTTATTGCTCAGAGAGACCTGTTCGGTGCAGGTGCAGGTTATTTGCAGGCCTACTTGTCTCTGCTGCCCAAAACTAGCATATTTGGAATGGGTTATGTCCTATTAGATAAAATAATCTTGGGAGACCTAGGAGTCATGCCTTCTCTGTTGTATGCAGCCCTGTGAAACAGCATTCTCCCAGAGATCCAGATGACCCTGACTTGCTGGATCTTCCATAAGGTTTAAAGATCTGAATGTTCCCACAGGAAACTGGGCCAAGAACTCATGAACTCATGTGAGTGCTTTGTAATGATCATACCGTAGTAATTGAAATGATATGGCTCTTTGATCCCAATATCATACATTTTTTTTAAAATGATTTTGGGACTGATGTTAGACTTTTGGTTTCAATCTTGTATGCCTTTGAGGTCACCTTGGTAACAGAGCTGGCTATTTAAATCACTTAAATAAATATTAAATAAAACTAAAAAATATTTCACATTTTTACATACAGTAGAAATTTCAAAGTCTCTATTGCTTCCACAATGGAGCTAAATGGGAGATATAGAATTGATTTTCTTTCCCACAAGACTATTTATGCATAGAAGTTAGAAATACATCAACCTACACATGTATTGTTTTCGAATAATAATAAAATAAAACCTCCCTCCCTCCCTGCTAAGTGCTTCTGACATTTGTATGCTTTGTGTTGTTTTTATGTTTGCATATGGACGCTTTTAAATTTCTTACAATGTTCCATAAATTTTCACTGACATTTATCATAAGCAAAAGTGACATTTTCAATCCTGATTTAACAAGTCATGGGGGATTCTGTAAAGAACCAGACTTGTTGTTCTTATAGCTGTCATATAAACAGAAGGATTTAATCATTAGGACTGAGAAAGGTAGCTAGCTTTAGATAGTTCAGGCACTAATCTATACTTTCAGCTCCTGGGTTAGAACCAGACCCAAGATAGAAATGGAAAGAAGATCTTTAAGATCTGTTTGCCTTTTTTAATTTCTGGGTAATAGTATTTAGTCCCAAACTGGAAATATTTCCTCATATTCAGTGGGAATCCACTGTCCCAATCTAATATTTCGTTCTTTTTCATTCACATAATTTAAAAATAGTAAAGAGTAGAGGAGTTAACTATATGTCACATCACTTGATGAATTTGATAAATTTGATCTTGGGAGGGGGGGGGCAGATTGAGCTCATGGCTTTTCACTTGCAGGGTGCCTCAGGATAGAGTAGAGTTCTCACCCCTTCTGTTTAACATCTATTTGAAACTATTTCAATCCTTGCAGAAGGTGTGGGATGGCTGTGGAAACTGGAGCGAGTGAGGAGGGTACCACAACCAGGGGAGGTGGCATGCTTGCTGGCATCCATCAGATTGGACTGGGAGCAGCCAGGGCCTTATCTCGTCCTTGAATCTGACCCCAGAAGAGAAAATGTCGGGATGGAGGTAATCCCAGAGGTAATCTCCATGAAGAGATCGGAATGTTACTGACTTCCCATTGTGGCTGAAGGACCAGATGTTTTGGGACAAGTAGGTCCTGCCATCCCTGTCATACTGCCTGTTACAGGGGAAGAGACTGAGGGCGAGGTTTCCATAGATTGGTTCTACCTGAAGAACACACACCTCACCCCAGAGTGGCCGGAGAGGGTTACAGACCAACCATGTGCTCCCTGTCACTCTCTAGCTCCCAGGATGCCACCGAGAGCTTGGGACATCTGTGGGGTGCTGTACAGCAATCGGGGGCCCCACCCAGCCAATCACCTGAGTACAGGGTTTGGCTGCTCTATCCAGATGATTGGTGCTCTGTGTCAATTAGCTATGTGCTCTGCTTCACTCTCTAGCCTTCAGGATGCCCTCAAGAGCCTAGAATGTTAGATACTGCATGGTGATCAGGGCCCCCGAGACATCCATGCTGCTCAGCTGATAGTGCCAATTGGTATGATTGCACAATTGGCGCTGCTCTCTCCCCACTACATAAGGTTATGTTAATGTAATCTTTTAAGTCTGAAAGTGCTTTTCCCTTCATCTTCTTTTACTCTCTGAAAACTAGGGAGGGTCCCTTCTGAAACGCTTCCCATGCCTCCCCTTGTTCTGTGAGCTATCTTCTGCTGGGTTTTGACTGCAATAAAGTTTTTAGAGTTTGAATCAAATTGCACTGAGCACCAACTCATCTTTCTCACCAAAGTGGTACCTATTTATCTACTTGCATAGAACATGCTTTTGAACTGCTAGATGGGCAGAAGCTGAGGCGAGTGAGGGAGCTTACCCTGACACCCAGTGTTAGGACTCGAATCACAGGAACAGAGACCATCTCCAATGTCATTAAGCCACTGAACTACAGCGCCTCTTGTATTCAAAACAAACCCACTCATTACACAAATAAAGAAAATCTCTTGAGATCCTCTGCTTGTAAAGTAGGGTAGAGAGGAAATGGAATGGAGGAAATTCAAGGAAAACTGGAAGTGAAGCATTTGGAATCTTTTTAGCAAATTGCCATTGTTTCTCAACATTGGTCCAGTGAGCTCAGTATTATTGAGCTGACTGGTATCAGCTCTCCAGGATGTGATAGAAGTTCCTTTCCCAGCTATCTTAGACTGAACTACCTCCGAGGGCTAACTCAGGTCACAAAGCACAACCAAGTTAATGTGAAAGCCAGATTCACTTAACACCAGTGTTCCTAACTTAACCACTGAAGTGATTCACTTAACAACTGTGAAAAGAAAGGTCATAAAAAGGGGCAAAATACAAGTAGTCCTCAATTTATAACAGTTCATTTAGTGACCGTTCAAAGTTACAACAGCACTGAAAAAAATGACTTACGACCATTTTTCACTGCTGACTGCAGCAGCATCTCCATGGTCACATGATCAAAATTCAGATCCTCGGCAACTGACTCATATTTATGATGGTTACAGTATCCTGGGATCACATAGTCACCTTTTGCGACCTTCTGACAACCAAAGTCAATAGGGAAGCCATATTCATTTAACAACAGTGTTATTTAACAGCTGCAGTGATTAACAATTGTGGAAAGGTCAAAAAATGGGGCAAAATTCACTTAACTGTCTCGCTTAGCAACAGAAATTTTGGGCTCAATTGTGGTCGTAAGTCAAGGACTACCTGTAGTCTCATCTTTACGGAAATCTTACG